CAGAAACACGAATGCATTACACACATCGCAGCACGAATACATTACACATATAGAAGTACGAATACATTACACACATAGAAACACGAATGCATTACACACATAAATACATTACACATATAGAAGAACGAATACATTACACACATAGAAGTACAAATACATTACACACATAGAAACACAAATACATTACACACATAGAAGTACGAATACATTACACACATCGCAGCACTAATACATTACACATATAGAAGAACGAATACATTACACACACAGAAACACGAATTCATTACACACATCGCAGCACGAATGTATTACACACATAGAAACACTAATGCATTACACACATACAAGCACGAATGCATTACACACATACAAGCACGAATGCATTACACACATAAATACATTACACATATAGAAGAACGAATACATTACACACATAGAAGTACAAATACATTACACACATAGATTACACACATAGAAGCACGAATATATTACACACACAGAAACACGAATACATTACAAACATCGCAGCACGAATACATTTCACACATAGAAGCACGAATGCATTACACACATAAATACATTACACATATAGAAGAACGAATACATTACACACACAGAAACACGAATGCATTACACACATAGCAGCACGAATACATTACACACATAGAAACACGAATGCATTACACACATCGCAGCACGAATACATTACACACATAGAAGTACGAATACATTACACACATAGAAACACGAATACATTACACACATAGAATCACGAATACATTACACACATAGAAACACGAATACAATACACACATAGAAACACGAATACATTACACACATATAAGCACGAATACATTACACACATAAAAACACGAATACATTACACACATAGAAGCACGAATACAATACACACATAGAAACACGAATACATTACACACATAAAAACACGAATACATTACACACATAGAAGCACGAATGCATTACACCCATAGAAACACGAATACATTACACACATAGAAGCACGAATGCATTACACCCATAGAAACACGAATACATTACACACATAGAAGCACGAATGCATTACACCCATAGAAACACGAATACATTACACACATAGAAGCACGAATGCATTACACCCATAGAAACACGAATACATTACACACATAGAAGGACGAATACATTACACACATAGAAACACGAATACATTACACACATAGAAGGACGAATACATTACACACATAGAAACACGAATACATTACACACATAGAAACCCGAATACATTACACACAAAGAAGCACGAATACATTACACACATAGAAGCACGAATACAATACACACATAGAAACACGAATACATTACACACACAGAAACACGAATACATTACACACATAGAAACACGAATGCATTACACACATCGCAGCACGAATACATTACACACATAGAAGAACGAATACATTACACACATAGAAACACGAATACATTACACACATAGAAGCACGAATGCATTACACCCATAGAAACACGAATACATTACACACATAGAAGGACTAATACATTACACACATAGAAACACGAATACATTACACACATAAAAACACGAATACATTACACACATAGAAGCACGAATACATTACCCACATAGAAGCACGAATACATTACACACATAGAAGCACGAATACAATACACACATAGAAACACGAATACATTACACACATATAAGCACGAATACATTACACACATAAAAACACGAATACATTACACACATAGAAGCACGAATACATTACACACATAGAAACACGAATGCATTACACACATAGAAACACGAAGACATTACACACATAGAAACACGAATACATTACACACATCGCAGCACGAATACATTACACACATAGAAACACGAATACAATACACACATAGAAACACGAATACATTACACACATATAAGCACGAATACATTACACACATAAAAACACGAATACATTACACACATAGAAGCACGAATACATTACCCACATAGAAGCACGAATACATTACACACATAGAAGCACGAATACAATACACACATAGAAACACGAATACATTACACACATAGAAGCACGAATGCATTACACCCATAGAAACACGAATACATTACACACATAGAAGCACGAATACAATACACACATAGAAACACGAATACATTACACACACAGAAACACGAATACATTACACACATAGAAACACGAATGCATTACACACATCGCAGCACGAATACATTACACACATAGAAGAACGAATACATTACACACATAGAAACACGAATACATTACACACATAAAAACACGAATACATTACACACATAGAAGCACGAATGCATTACACCCATAGAAACACGAATACATTACACACATAGAAACCCGAATACATTACACACAAAGAAGCACGAATACATTACACACATAGAAGCACGAATACATCACACACATAGAAACACGAATGCATTACACACATAGAAACACGAAGACATTACACAAATAGAAACACGAAGACATTACACACATAGAAACACGAATACATTACACACATAGAATCACGAATACATTACACACATAGAAACACGAATACAATACACACATAGAAACACGAATACATTACACACATCGCAGCACGAATACATTACACACATAGAAGCACGAATACATTACCCACATAGAAGCACGAATACATTACACACATAGAAACACGAATGCATTACACACATAGAAACACGAAGACATTACACAAATAGAAACACGAAGACATTACACACATAGAAACACGAAGACATTACACACATAGAAACACGAATACATTACACACATAAAAACACGAATACATTACACACATAGAAGCACGAATACATTACACACATAGAAGCTCCTCCTGAATTATCTTAGCTGATAATAGGCCGCAAAACCCCAAAAAAAACATTTGCGTCAACTGTCATATAATATTTTTGAAATGTTTGTAACAAATAAAATCTTCGTCAATTGTTATATTCCCATGTGTCTTATTGTATATTCTTTTTTCGTGGATTAGTATTAGAATATATCATTGGTGTCCCATGTTGTTTGCCGTTATACTTTTCTATATTTCATAATTGCGAGCGAAATAGAGCGAGTAGAAAACACAGTAATACCGTGCTGATTGTTCAACATTAATTGATATAGTTCATTCATTGTAACTCGCTAGAGGCTTGCTAAACATATAAGTGCTTAGACACGTTTCATAAATCGCTGCAGAAATGCAAACTCATGTTAGATTCGTTGATCTGAATGGGGTGGCTAAGTCTCATATAAAGCTTTAATACTCCTATAAATAATAGCTTTTCAGTAGATCGTTTTCACTATCGTATTGTATTTACATGAATAAATACATACGTACGTTAGAAATAACATAACATCTTACCTTCATTATCTGTACAACACAGCCAGACGGTTACATAGATACTGGGTTACCCGAGACATGCTTGTTTCTATTGTCTTAAACATAATACCGTTGCATACTTATATATACACGTCATTTAATTAAAATCGTTGGAGTGGAGCAACAATTCATTGCTTGGTTTGTTCACCCGGAGCATTTCAAAATAGGTCTGTGTCCACATATGTTTAAGCTATAAACAATGTATTCTATATTTAATTTAGCATTAACAGAACTGAGATTAAAAACACCTGATTGTACACGTGTGATCCCTGTTGGAACATCTATTGTATTACAGGAATTGTGTGTGGCATTCCGAACGTAAGATAGCAATCGGTCCGTTACGTAAAGGATTAGCTATTGGCTGTGTGCGATGTCAGCTAAAATGTTCAATTCTTTATTCTTACAGATTCTAATACAACATTGAGATCGTATACATGTTCAGTAAGCTAACCAATTCACTGAAATGTTTTATAACACTATACAGATAGCCATACATTTTATAGGTTTGTCTGGGGACATATAATACCCTTGCTGTTATCAGATTAAAAACGTATGGTCAAGGCCCAGTTATCCAAAGACTACTCTGTTTTACGAGTCGTTCATGCGGATTTTCGATAAAGATCTTTCTTTTTTCCTTGTGGTTTAACGAATATCTAGATGTGTATACTAAAGTAAAGAACAATAGGGGAACCATTAAAAAGAGGCAATCCTTTATATTACAGTTTCACCAGTGAAAGTATCAGATTTTACATTGAAAGTTGACATTTTTCTCCTGTAAAAAATAGCAGTTCTCGCTGTTTTCACACTAAACGATGAGTGTACTAATGTGTATGCATCGAATTTATTGTTTGAATTGGTCAACACAGAATTTATCATGGGAGGGGGGGGGAGTCATTCAGAGTATGTATAAATGATCTCTCTGATGATTTTTTAATGGTTTCTGATGAGTTATTTATGAACCGAAACATGTATATGTCCGATGACTAAATTTATAATTTATTCTGCTATTTCTTAATACGTGTCGTCCGAATATTAAAGCTAATAAAATATCCCTACTTCTACGAGACCAACATTTCATACACCCAGTAAGTAGCCTGAGGCTCGGGTAGGCACGTGTCTACGCAAAATTATGTCAAGTTTTTTTAGTCAGTGTTAATTCAAGAAATTAAAAAAAAAATGAATATATTTTGTAAAGATCTAGTACAAAATACGGAAGGTTTATTTTAGATCTGTTTTCCACGGTCAAAAACGATATTTTCAAGCTTACATTAAACAATGGTAATACCACAACGATAAACAAGTTTGTGGTCCAGAAAATTCGAAATATCAAAAGTTCAGAGACCCATTCAGAGGATCCCCCTTCGCAGTGAAACTGTCCCGTTTTCCGAGGCTACTCAAACTAGCCCGTCATTCTTTAATTCCCATGTCCCACCCTACCCTCATTTGGCACGCATAGGATATCAGTCGGAGGTAGGCTAGAAGATCATTACAAGGTGACCATTCACCATGCGCGATCGGACAACAGCCTCCTGTGCAAGCATCCTACCATGTTAATACTTAGTGTCTAAATCACATGTTGTAATAGGGATTATTTAAGGAATCGAACCCCGGCCACCTTGGTGAAAGGCAACGTATTATGTTATTTTACTTGCAGCTATAAGTTTTTATACTAGACCCTGATGACAAAACGAAATTAGTCGCGTGAAACCCAAAAGGAAAACAAAACAAAAAATCTGTATTTCCTGACATCGAAGTGCAAAGCACACTCACCAATCTGCATGATAGGCATGTATGTTTTTTGTGCGCCAATAAAACATCTAATATTTCAATATTTGTCTGCAACCACTTTAACATTGTCTATTAGACAAAATAGAACTAAACATGCTTGTTATCCAATGTTACCCAATTTAAATACACTGTACTTTAAGTTTTTCGAAAGATTAGTTTAATATGTGTCAATGAAATGATTGTATTTTTGTTATTTTATCACATTAATTTATTTCAGACTGGCTAGCAGCCCTGATGTTTTTTTATGAATGATTTACCTCTAGCATATCCCCCCTAGTTTAGAACTTATTTGATTAACTTCATTAATATTTCATGAGTGGGTGAATATTTAAATATTTTAATGAGTGTTATTTATCAGGAAAACAAATATATTCTGTTTATGTTTTCAAGACATGGCCATCGTTAACAGATAGTTCATCTCCCATCAAAACAAGTATATTCGGTTTATGTTATCAAGACATGGCCATCGTGAACAGATAGTTCATCTCCCATCAAAACAAGTAAAGAAGAATAATGCTCTAATGCGACGCCATCGTGAGACAATGTCAGGGATATCATGACGTCACAACAGACAATACCCTTAGTCTTTTTGCACACTTCATTCTGCATTTTGTTTGTGCATTCTATTGTTAATATAACACAGATGTGTTGTTTGTCACAATAGACGATACCAATATTTCTCCCACCAAACCCACATACATGTCACTGGTAAAAATGTTACAGAAATAATATAAATTCGTAGAATCCATTGCATTAATGCTTAAGAACTGTCTATAAAATATTAACTTTACAAAACCATATACAATTTAAAACGTCAAACCAAAGAATCAGACATTCAAGTGATCAAAATAATAAAAGTTATATTTTTTCTCATAATTCATCAATATTCTAGAGACGGGGGCCTGTCTAATTTCTTCCGTACACGTATATAATTTCTACATCACTACTCTTTCATTATGCATGTGTAACTCTTTAATTATGAAGGAATAAAAATATAAATGAATGCATTGTCTGTGTGCAAAATAAGAACTAAGCATGCAGATAACCAGGGTAACCCTATCATATACTTTCCAATTTTTCGAAAGACTAAATGCTAGCTTATCACACGTCTGTATTAAAATCTTTCTGAATATTCTTAACGATAAAGTTACGGACCTGCCTCCTTTTTATCGTCCTTGATACTCAGCAGTTACGCTCACTTTCGCTCTCTGCACCCCTGTAATATGTCATAGCAAAATTGAAGGCTCGGTGTGCGCCACCTTGGTGATGAGACAAGAAGATTAGTTCGATCCTTTGATGTACATCAAAAGAATCTCGCGGTCACGTAACGGTAAAAATTGAAAGGCTTTGAAGTCGGACGTCTCGACATGTATTAGCCTAGCGATTGGTCAGTTGTTTTTACCTGAGACCAATCAAACAGCTATCTTCGTGCCTTCAATTTTGCTATGACATATTCCAGGTATGTAGAGAGCAAACGTGAGCGTAACCCCTGTATATCGAGGATGCATTTGTATTGAATTCCGAAATGTGAATTCTATCAAACGCTTCGACTTATCGACTCTTGACACTACAATTCCTCATACTATACAGAAGCAACGGCTTCGTTCTCCAATTATGCGACCTTTCTTTTCAAAAAGAAGGGCGAACAGCGGTATACATATATGGTTGTGGTTGTAAATTGTGTTGGAGCATATCTTGTGAAAAACACAACTAAGGCTGAAATAAACATACAGAGGATTGAATTGTGAGAATGATTGAGGTCCAGCTGGTCGACAATATCTTTGTCAAGTTCGGTGACAAGACTTTTCTTCAGTGTGCAGACTGTAGGCTTTCCAACTATGTGTGCCCTTACTGCTAGTGCTTGATTGGAGGGGGGTGGGGTGGGGGTGAGGGGGGTTCAACTGGAAAGTCGGGAAAATCAAGGAGGGAAGGGGATTAGATGAACAGATACGAAGGGGGCCACCAGCTGAGTCATCTTTATGACCCCATTTAACATCCACTAAGGGGCGGTAAGGGTTAACATGTTACCCGTCACCCTGACTGCCTGCAGTATAAGAGTGCAATTGGGCGAACTGTCTCTATGATGTTTGACAGCTGACTTTATTAATTCGGCACCCTGTGGTTCAGTTAGTTGTTTTCAGCGGTTTAGAGTGGAGACATCGGTCACTTACACACTTTGCTTGACGAATGAAGCAAACGTTTTCGAAAGCTTGCAAAACAAGTTTTCAATTAATGTTTGTGTTAAAAACAAGCTTAGCCTTTAATTTCTCTTCACTATTAACAACAATGAACACAACAAAAATAATATAAACATCTAATCATAAAACAGATAACAAAGCGAACAAAGAATGGGGCTTACAACAAGAATTTAACGCAAAATACTCTTTGAAATCTATTACCCCATTGATAGGCAAAACGTGATGCAAGCCACTACATTTTCTGTCAAATTACGATATCTTGAAAAAATTCTTTGGAATTCTTCCCTAAAACCTTACGACATAGCTACGTTTAATATCCAGCCTGAATTAACTCAACATCCTTTTAACTTCAAATGTATTTTCAGCATTTATGAATTACAAAACAATGCTTTTATACACGAAACAAGACCCAACAGTGACCAAGTAATCCATGTGGTTGTGATTTAATAACTTTACGGAACACTACAGAACACTGCGGCCATTTTCTTGCAAACTGTTTTTTTTTAAATAACAGGTTAAAAATGGTTCAAATTATGATATCAGCTTAATTTTCTTGTTTGCATTCAAATGTTTCTAGCAGTCATCTGTTAGCAATTATGAGAAGTCAGTGGACAATGGTCCTAACACAGCTAAGTACCAGCCTCATCTGTCAATACACCAAAAACCGAGGCTACATTTATACTAATTTACACATGTCGCAATATCCCACTTTTTCTATCCTTGACCTCTGTTCACCAACCCGTCTCTTGCATTTTTTTTCACACTGTGTTGACACGAACAACTACATTTATAGATTTTCTCATTACATTTTATTAATATATTTTTTTTAATTCATTTGACCTCACGTATTCAAGATGAATTTTGTATACAGCAGCACATTTCTAAAGTGATAACTGGTTTTTTTTGTTTATATATTTTACGTTGTAGTATTATTTCATAGTGACTGTTTATAAGCCTATATGTTATGTGTAAGTGTTCATGTTTCTGTCTTGAAAAAGAGGCGGATTGTCCTGATTTTTTTTCAAATTCCTTCGTCTAAACTGTCGTTATTACTTCTTAGCCCATATAAATCATTACGTTGATATACTGTTGTAAAGAAACTCGGCATAATTAAACGTGTCGAACGCTATCTAAAAAACTTTCTGAAACCGACGTTAGGGGGCCAAATATAACCTTGACTGCAGACGTCCTCCTCCCGGATATTTTAGAAATATCTGTAAATAGCGACAGACTTACCTTTTGACCTTGCCATACATAAAATTCTACAGCTTACATGTAGGTCTGATTAGAATTGATTAGAAAACAATTCGTTGCATTTGGTATTATACTGGTTAGATAGAAAATGGTGTTTACAATAATTTAGTTATTTAGTTATTTGTGTCATCAACCTTTGTCTCAGTAATTTATGCTAACAGATTTTATGTTACAAGAATTCTTATGCTTCAGTGTAAAATGTGTAAGTCTGGTGCCAGGGCCAGAGGAAAGTAACCCTGATTTAATTGTTACATGGCGAGCCAGTATAGATTAAAATGTTGGCAAAATTTGAAGGGTGTCTCTTCATTTCATTATCCGTCTTTGCCTCTGCATAAACGTGCACATGTCTGATGAGGATGTCATAGTCACGTGGTATCTTCTTGTTACTTATAGTAATCGAATCAGTGAACAGTACACGGCACTACCTTGGACAACGTTGGACATGCCAAAGTCACGCTATTTTATCGATGCCGTACGCGTACGTTAGTCATACAATTGTATTTATTTCAAAACTACCTTTTATAAAATGTATATGCGTGATTAATTCACATGCATACTCTACATTTAAACGTATGTAGAATATATGCATGCATGAATCGACTTACTTTGATAGCAATCCATGTCCGTGATGAAATTTACATAATTTGATGAACATTGGAAAAATCAGCCACAAAAGTATTGTTTCGAAGAAAAAAATCAAGCTGTGCACTTTAATATCATATAGACTAATTTAAGTATACTACAAGCTGACTATCAAAGGATTGTTAACCCTGTATATTGTCAGAATAAATCTGTGTATCTAGTACTGCATACAAGCACGGAATCAGATATTGTTTCAAGTCCGTGATTTAACGTTAACGTATTATCCATTTCATATGTATTTAACACGAAAATAGTTCGTGTAATAGGCCTATAAATGAAATTGTATGCACGTAATGTTCATGTTTAATACCCTTCTAAAAGTTAACGCACCATAACCTAACAGAAGCGTGTCCTATCACACGCCAGTCGAAGGGAAGGGAGCTAATCATTATACTGCTAAGGTGGGAAGCCGACAGCTGGGACATATCATTTCGTGGGCAGACCTACTTAATTAGTTCTAGGATAAGGTAAAAAAATTGCAGCCTGGTGTAAGGTGGGGGTTTTTTTGTCATTTAAACACCATATTATTTTTAATATAGAATGGTTGCTTTTAAGACTCGCTGCTACTCTTTCAGTGAAAAAATATTATCTTTCTGGTGAATGAGGAAGTTGATTTTATTGTTCCAGCCACAAAAAAGGAAGCGCGTTAGTGTGTTTACCTCCCACGTGTTCCCTAGCTAGGCCTGCTGTATTCTACTGCCCTACTGTAGCATCGCAGGAATGTCTGTCAAGGTAAGCTAACCGTCTGAGAAACAATAAAGAAAGCAAATTAACAAAAGTGTTATTGAAACGAACCAATTTTAAGTTCCAGTCGTTGTGTCGGGATACCTTGCTAAATGACACGCCCGTTTGAGTCAAATGAGTTGTCTTTCCTTGATTGCTTTTAACCTAGCTATTATGTACTAAAAGCTACTTTTCATGATTTTGCACCTTTTTTTAACTTTTTCTTGTCGTTATACTATTATTTCGTTCCAAAAGCATATAAGCGTTAATAGGTGTTACCATGCAGAGCCGCTTACCTGTCGGAAAATACCTAATTTGGGAAGTACTAAATTGCTGAGTTGTTATGACCAGATTTGTCTTGAATTGTTATAAAGCCTGGATGTGTTACATTAAAAGGTAATGATACAAAATATCTTTCACTATTTTGATATATAAATATTTGCTGGTGTTTTATATGCACAAAAAAAACACTAGTTCAGATAAAAATATTTTAGCGTTTCAGGCCTTTTGGATTCTTTTAATTTGTGTTACTTTTATTTTTTTATTTATTTACAGATTGGTATAATTGGGGGATCAGGTCTTTCTGACCCGGACCTTTTGAAAAATGGAGCTGAACAAGAAGTGGATACACCATTTGGAAAGGTTTAAATAACTTACCTTAATATTTTACCATCAATAGGTTCATGTTCTGTGTAATCCCAACATCTGTTATATATCTAGCAGAAATTCACCAGCCTCCACTTAGCTCAATTGGTTATAATATATAGGACATCTGTCTGGAGATTGGAGGTCCCAGGTTCGAATCCTGGTCTGGCCGTGTTTTAAGTTTTGGATGTATACTTGGCAAGGGGATACCCAAAACTAGGTTGTAAATAGTGTTGTTTCTGGGGTCATAAGACCTAGAAAAGGAGGGAGGGAAGTGGGGGGGGGGGAGGAATATAGCAGAACTGGACTGCAGGTTAGTTTCTTGTGACTCTTATTGTCTCTTGATTGATTAGAGTGTCTGTCCACAGTTTGGAAGTCCCTGGTTCAAATCCCCGTCCGCTGTGCATCTTTCCTCTCACGTTACATATATATATATCAGATATATGTACCCAGGTATTAGTTACCTAATTTGGCTTTGAACAAATTAAAACTGTTTGCACTAAAACTTTGGTCCCAAGCAGGCAGTACTATTTATATCCAATTGGAATATCAGAATTTTTGTCGGAAGTATTTTGGATCCCCACCGGTAACATCCTTTGCTTGTGGAACAAAGTTTGTTTTGCAGCATTTTTCATTTGTCCCTCAACTTCTTAGCCCTTCATCATCATCAGATGGCCACATTGACAATTAAAGATGGGGCACGTTTTCCCAAGTAGTTCTGGAGTGATCATTCTCAAATTTCAGAGGTAGATGTTCAGTTATGTGACAGATCAGAAGAACAGCATGGCTGACAGGTGGCCATCTTGGATTTTGACGGTTGACAACTGATTGTTATGACTATTTCCTAGAACGTCGCAAATTTCTAAAGGAGCTTCCTGTTGGTCTTTAGTTGTGCATATTCAGTTTTTGGACTGATCATCAAATGAACATGCAAAATTTGATTTGACATAAAGTATCGTTATCGCTTCTTCTCAGAAAGTGTTGGAGGCCGGAATCTTTCTAAAATGGTACTTGTACATTTAGGTTACCATTGGACCTTATTACCTTGTAAGTTTAATTTTCGAACTGATCACATGATCAAGATGGCTACCAGACTACCAATCATTGCCGAAATATCCAGGTGAACTAGTTCATCAGGCCTTCAAGACCTCTTGCTTACCTCAAAAAAAAATTGAGTGAACTATTTCTGGTAAAGTACCTTCATTTTTGTCTAACTCTTACGAAGAGATATTGTCTTCTATTTAACTAGTTAACTATTATCTTTATCATTACCGATATGTGATTATGATAATTTTCAGCCATCAGACAGTCTGAAGACTGGTGAGATTGCCGGAGTGCCATGCGTACTCCTAGCCAGACACGGGCGCTCCCACGCCACCATGCCCACCAATGTCAACTTCCGAGCTAACATATGGGCACTCAAAATGGTCGGTTGTACACATCTTTTGGTGACTACTGCATGCGGATCCCTACAGGAAAACATACACCCGGGGGAAATTGTTGTCCTGGACCAGTTCATTGACAGGTGGGTTCATTTTTAGGTTTACGTAATATCAAAAGGTTTTAGCATAGTCCCATCATCCAATATCTATTTTTTAACTATCTTAACAAATCAAAATGTTCAACAATCTTTATCACAGCCTGGCGTTATCATTTCCTCCATTTGAGTAAGTGAAAGGTAATAATCATTGACATGTGATGTTGGGAAACAGTTAAAATTGTTTGATCAATTGTCCGTTTCACTTTTAACTACCTTTGACCAACCAATGAATGATTAGATTGATTTCCTTCCCTAGAAAGATAAATGTTGTAGTGAGTAAGCTACACTAACCTAAGTCGATCACCATGGCTGGTTCCTCCCGACAGAAAATAACAGTCAGTTACATAGTGTGTCAATTTGTTACATAGTGTGTCAATTTGTAACATAGTGTGTCAGTTTGTTACATAGTGTGTCAGTTTGTTACATAGTGTGTCAATATGTGACATAGTGTGTCAATTTGTTACATAGTGTGTCAATGTGTTACTTAGTGTGTCCTTAGTGTGTCAGTTAGTTACTTAGTGTGTCAGTTTGTAACGTAGTGTGCCAATATGTAACATAGTGTGTCAGTTAGATACTTAGTGTGTCAATTTGTTACTTAGTGTGTCAGTTTGTTACTTAGTGTGTCAGTTTGTAACTTAGTGTGTCAGTTAGTAACTTAGTGTGTCAGTTTGTAACGTAGTATGCCAATATGTTACATAGTGTGTCAATTTGTTACTTAGTTCGTCAATTTGTTACAGTGTGTCAATTTGTTACAAATTGATTTAGTTTGTTACATATTGTGCTGGTTTGTTGCATAGATTTTCAGCACATTGTTATTTTCATGTTTATATACATCAGCTAGTGCAAACTAATTGTAATCTATTGTTTTTCTCCTGTGTAGAACACAGAAAAGAATACAAACGTTTCATGATGGATCTGAAAATGCTCCACCTGGTATTTGTCACATGCCTATGGCTGAACCCTTCTGTCCTAGAACAAGTCAGGTAAATCTGGGTTTTTTTTGTGTAGATAGAGTATGGACATTTTTATTTTTGTGCCAACCACCAGTCTAAAATGTAACATTTGTGTTCTTACTGTAATGTTACAACTGTGACAGAACTGGACTGAGTCAATCGTCGGCAACCAGGTAGCTCAATTGGTAAGGCATCTGTCTAGAGTTCGGAGGGTCCAGGGTTTTAAGCCCCATCTGGCTGTACATTTATCTTTCTTCTGTTACCCAATTATAAATGTTCATGTAAGGTCAATCTTATTAGATATCTAACTTGTTGAGATTCTCCCGTTTAGTCTTTGTCATAAACCTAATTGATAAAAGCGATCAATCATCTCTCACGCCAAGAGGTAACATATGGCATCATTAGAAACTGAGACAAGAGCAACTGACACTTTTGATTTATCTTGAAATAATGTGTTTCTGATGTTAGAAAAATTAACGTGTACACTGTCACCATCAGTATTTATAAGAAGAAACAAAGAATGTGTAAAAAGATGAACTATGACAACTGAATGATAATAATCTTAATCGATTGATCTTGTAGCTTCTGTACGACTGTGCAAAAGAGCTTTCGATTGGGTGCCACAAAGGGGGCACTATGCTGACCATCGAGGGACCACGGTTTTCTTCAAAAGCTGAGAGCAAGCTCTTCCATTCCTGGGGAGCTCATTGTATAAACATGACAACAGTACCTGAGGTAATGTAATGAATTATCTCCCCTTCCTTTTTGATGTCGCATAAGTAAAATAGGTAATCTGTCTTTGACGTCTTAACACGCCCAAAGTATACCTACCAGGTAATATGAAATAATGGATTATCCCCCGTGAAACAATAAATCAACATGAATACATTTCTTCCTGGAGGTAAAATTGCATTTTGAACAAACCTAACTTCAGTACATGTATAGACGTGACTGGAGAAACTGGAGTAATACAAGGATATATTTCCCATTAATTTAACTCTATGAACACAAATACAGGACCAGACATTAAGTAAAAGGTACCAATATTTCAACTCGACTACAGTTACCACTATAAGTCCTTACTACCACTACTGTAAGGTTTGGGGGTTTTCTTTCTATTAATGTGAAGCAATGTAATAGGTTTTTCCTGTTGTTATCTCCCTTTTAAATTGCTACCACTGTTTTAGGTCATATATCCCTTTCTTTGGAGATAATGTAAAACTAGGGCTTGTTCGTTTATGCGGAACAAACGGTTTGTCTGTTTTTAAATGTAACATTTTCAAGTATTAATACTAGCGGATCTGCAAATGTTTATAAAGGCTTTGTCAAGGCTCTCCTGAAAGCAATATCAGATTACTAGGTCCAACCTTATTTCATAAACGAACAACTCTGGTCAAACAGATTCAACTTTTTGGATCATGATAAATGTAAAAGGCCTCGGTTTTGTTCCAATAAATATCCTATAAACATGACAACATGACCAGAATGCCAGAGCAAGATACATTTAAGTTGGTGCCGGGTATATCTACCATTTGTTAATAAACATGACTACAAGACCCAAAAAGTGGCTTTTAAATGTTGCATAGACATGTCAATAAGATAAAAATTGATTAACCAAAATATTTCTTCTTGAAAGGATGTTTAAAACCGGACCCAAGGCAATGGTATATTAACCTGACTACAAGTATTGTAAAAGTAATTAATGACAGCACTAATAGGTTAAAACATTTGAGAGAATCTATATGAGTAACTATATTTGAAAATCGATCAAGCTTATACTGTGGCTAAACATTGACTGATGATTATGGTGTTCCTAATTGAGATGTCCTGTAAAAATATAGTGTAGCGACCAGGTATCTCAGTTGGTAGAGCATCCGTCTTGAGTTTGGTAGGTCCTGGGTTCAAATCCTGGTCTGGACGTGCATTTTTCCTCTCCTCTTATTAACACAATGACATTATTTGAAAGCAATATAATGGGTTATCTCCTTGTTAACTTTTATGTCAGTATGACTCTGAGCAGAACAATGGTTATTATATTATGTTGAGTCAATGACTTTTTATCGTTGTCAGGTTGTGTTAGCTAAGGAAGCAGGACTTTGCTATGCGTCAATGGCTCTTGTCACAGATTACGACAGCTGGCGGGACAATACTGAAAGTGTAAGTGAGGTTACTTAGTTTTAATGTGTTCATGCCAAACAATCCATTGTTTGTTTCTTTCATCCTGAAACAACATCCTCACATAATGGCAACATATTTAGTCTAACAGATTCTCAAGAAGATCGCTAGATTTGAATCTAAAATCAACCCACAGACATATGGTACATTATGTACAAATGTATATATATATCATCAGGTAAATTTCAAATAAATTCTGTGTTTAGATTTAATTCTATTCACGTGAAATATCTGTATAATTGAATGTATATTTTTTCCCTTTGAAAGGTCAATGTTCAAAATGTCATGAAGACGTTCAAGTTAAACGCCTCCAATGCACTGAAAGTACTAATGAAGGCCATCCCACTGATTGGACAACAGGACTGGAGTGAAACCATTAAGGCAAATCAGGTAGGTCATGACCTTAAAACTCACCTGGTGTAGAGAGGCTTAACAAGCTTGTGTCATACACTGGCAGCCATCTTTAAGTATAAATTTTCAGGATACCAATTGCAAGGCTGATAGACAGCGGTACCTGAACTTAACTGAACATTACTAAAGAGCTTCTCTGAGATTGAAGCCAGTCTTGCTACCATAAAGCTGGTCCATGTTCCACTTTTATATTTATCAAAGCATAATTCTGAGATCGCAGGTATGCAGGATATGTAACAGTTTCTAGACAAGGCAAATGATATCTTCAATTCTGCTGTAAGAAAATCCAAAGGTATTTCATATCAAAAGCAGAACCGTTAGATTTAGAAGACAATCTAATGGTGGAATAATTCCATTTATAATTGATTTCAATGTTTTTCTTTCTTCACAGGATATGGTCAAGTCCAACACGATGTTACCACATAGCTACTGACCGGGAGGAAATCCATCACTTTGACTTCAGCTACACAATAGCTTAAGTTTACACCTGTACTATATATATATGCAAACTTTTTAACCATGAAAATTCAACGAGTTGTAATTGTGTTATTCCAAATGTATTCTGAATCCATCTCAGTGATGTTTGGCTCCAACAGGGTTAACTGCAATTACTGTATAAAGACCAGGAATCAACCCTTCTTTGTAACTGCAACTAAATCATACCTAACGTTTCTGATTTTGATACCATTTAATTGTCTAAACAGAACTCTGTCTTATTCAGAAACCTGTATAAACCAGCTAACAAAGTGCCCAGAGATACACATTTCTGTGTAAGTTGAATATATTTAATCTGAAAAAACAGCCTGTTCTTGATGAAAATCTTGGTTCCCAAGGTGTTTGAGTTAAATGGTCAGCTATTGGGTGTTGCAACATGTGAAATTTTCCACACCTATTTCAGTGATGACCATACTTCATAAATTACAACCAAATTGAGCTAAAGAGAAATTTCAATAAAGTGACGCTAGATGGTAACTAAGAACAATTGAAACCTATCACACAGATGTATACTGAAACTATGAACTTGAATCGAACAATAGTCTCAAAGGACTTCTAGTTCATATGATTTTATACTACTTTTGGTTGTGATTGAAGAAACATGTGCATCACTGAATCAGGTGTGGATAGTTCTACATGTAGCACCACCCAGTAACTGGTTATATAATAGGAAGACCAAAGTCAAGGTGTAGAAGAAAACATCACAATCAAAATCCTTTACCCTACAACAAATTTCACTTTTTGTCTTTGGATGCAAAGTAGCCAATCATAGATATTTATTTTAAACTTCAACCTTCTTTTGTAAACTTCACAACTAAATATCATATCGGTACATCACAATTTTTGCCCATTTTGAAATTTCCTTCTTGTTAAGCAAAAATAAACTGGGGTAAATATTTTAGTTTCCAGTAGTTTATGGATTAAATGAGCTAAAAACAATCGTGGGTTAAACCCAAAAAGTTTGGAAAATCCATATACAGGTATATCCGGTGGCCTACGAGTCAAAATTCTCATTAAAACACCATGTTATATTGTCATTAAACTTTACGACTTGCAATCACTTGAACAACGATGTCTCATCAGTGAGAAGGTATGGCTAGTTAGCCCTCACTCTAATTGTTAACTTCTGTTACATCTCTATATATAATCAGATTTTATTATTATTATTCTCGTTTTCGCCTGCTTTGTGATAAATATTTTGCATTGTATAGGTCATGGTCTGAAGATATCACGGAATCATTTTGAATATATGGTAATCAATTAAAAATCAAAGATGGCTGCCAGAACCCAAAATATTATATGTTTTTTTCATAATTTGTAACCAGTATAGTCTTGCCTGTACCCCCATGTATTGGGTATAATGTATAACTGTTATTATTTCGATATTTTATTTTCGTTATATAGGGGTGTTGACCCATTTACTGACGAAAAACAGTCGACCAAAGTTCAATCAAAAGTTAGGTTAGTACATTGTACAATCAAACCTGTGTGAGAGGCCACCACTATTAACCGACCAACTATGTAAAGAGACCACTTAGATGTCCCAAATGCACTTATTTTCATGTTAACTGGACTTGTATATGGGATCACCTGCAATACAAGACCAATTTATTGACTTCCTGCAGGTGTTCTCAAAATACAGGTGTGGCTATGTGTGACTGTATAATAGTGTTTCATCTTTTGGAGGACGAGGTGCCACTTTTGTTTTTGCAAATTATAGACGTGAATCTATCAACAAGTATCTTACAAAATGTAAGTGATACATTTTTTTTTATGAAATGCATCATAAAGGTCAATGTACCTTGAGGGGGTAGTGAGAATTTTACATCAATTTTGTTGAATTTTTGTTTGTCTCATTCTGTACTTTCAATATAAATTTACCAGCAACACATGGATGTTTTTCATAACTGTTAATAAAGTTTCTCTAAAAAAATAAAAATTGTAAGTATCTTTTTTTAATGTTTTCTATATCCAAACAAATTATGTACTGAACAGTAGTTGCTATTTAGATTAATATAATTCTTGGTACCTGAATACATGTATATGAAGCACACAAATAAAATAGAAACAATGTTAGGAATAATTAATGTTTTTGCTAAAGTCGAAATTCCAATTAGCTTTGGCCTTCAATTCAGTATAATGTAGCAGGTATAAAAGAATGTAAATTTTGTGTTAAACGAATAAACCAGATAGATATGATCAAGAATAATGTATATAGCACCACAAACAAGGAGAAAATATTAATGGAAAAAATAATATTCTTCAGCAGTATGAAAATACAACTGAATGAAAAGGTGATAATGTGTTCAAAGAAATCCTTTCATTCATTTTTAAGAAAAGAGGTTTTGTCCCACATGAGGTAACCCTTCCTCATTCCTTATTCTCTGAAGCAACAAAAATATTAAAGTGAAATATATAGATCACAGTCATGATGTAATTTTATTTTTCCAAGAAATATTGATCTGTTCCATATACAAGTTGTATGGTGAAAACAAGTAGGGACAGTTGGGACCAACTCTTTGATTACAACTTTCATGATTCTGAAACTTAAATTGGTGTATATATCTTGGGTTTATCTTAATGTAAGCCGGCTTACAGTGAGTTTTCAGCTCCTTGATGAACATGATTCTTAAGTTGCATTTAACTTGTGCAACTTAAAGATATAGCATTGGCAGATAGAAATTGTCAATTCAAAATCTTGCAGTGTATATTGTATAATGTTAGCTGTGTCAAGGTTTGTGATACAAGTTACTTCTGGTCTGTGGAATAGTCTTGTTTCCAGAGGAACTCAGGCTGATAAGAGTTGCCTATCTCACAACTGTTACTACAGGTGTACACACACAGGGTACCCCAGTCCAGGCTGTCACTGAGCTGGTCAACCTGTAGATGACTCAACAACTGCGGCATCACCTGTAACATATTTTCACAAAATATTTGTATTTATTAATATCACAATAACATCAAATATGATGTTTTCAAAATATTTATTGAAATAAAACAGTTGAAGTGTAAAATACTAAATACTGTATGCATATATTTTAGTATGTTTAATATGAGAATGTACAAGTTGGAAATCATCAACTTGCAGCAGAAAAGCCTTTAACAAGCCATACAAAATATCCATTTAGTTACAATATGAACCATTTTTTGAATGCATGGCAGTAGGGATGTTTAAATGTAACATACAAATTCTGTACAGCAAAAACAAATCTAGTTTTGCTGTCAACACTTTGTCCAGTAGAATGTTGGCTGTATGAGTGAAGGGAAATGTATTATACCTTTTGTATATTCCATAAAGAAAAGAGGACCAAAAAGAGAAATTTAAAAAGTTCTAGAATTTTGTATCCCATTAATATGGGCCCTGGAGTTTCTGCGAGAATCAACTGAAAGCGTTCTTATGAAGGAGTAAGATCACATGGTCATACACTTCAAAAACCTTAAAAACACCTTTGGACTGAAGTGATATACATGCATCTCCATTCTAACAATCTTCAGTACAATTCAGAATTCAAAAATAACATCTGACATTGGCAACTAACCGGTTAATTTCCAAATGTTTTCATTGCCATGGTACAGTATATACGTACTGCATGTTATAATAAATATGTCAAAATTTTGACTACATACACTTCTGCAAATTAACATAAATTTAAAACAACGGTTAAATAATATTTCTGTTCAATTATAAAAATAACTTTCCATACCTGAAATTCAAATATACGTTTGGCACCACAAGAACATGCTGGTATGTCTGTTTCTTTTGGTATGTGATTCACTGACACCAATAGTGGCTGACCTCCTTTATTGTACCTCAAAACCTGAAATCATAAAAACAAATTAATTGAAAATATAAATACTGTTTAAAAGTTTAGTAAAGAGAGCAAAATATATGTTTTAATATCGATCAATTTCTGTTCAGTTTAAGTCTGCTTCATAGACCAAAGCAGTATAAAAGTTCTCCCTAAAGAAGTTCTTTCGGTAACCACTTGGTCCATGAATGAAAAGTATAGCCCAACAATTTTGAAACTATAATCTTATCAACCCTTCCTGAACCATTGAAATAATACCCCCATCAACATGTCCTCTACCACTAAAACTACAAACTTCAACCTGTCCTCTGCCATTAAAAGTATAAAAACAAAGCCCCGATCAACCCTTCTTCTTTGATATCACTGTAACTATACACCTTCAACCTCTATTATTTAAATATAAATCAGCATCAGTCTTTCTCTACTCCCCAAACCATGAGTGATTTCCTCCATTATTCTACCACTGAAACTAATGCCCCAAGTAACCCTTTCTCTACAAATAAAAATGTATCTCACCATCTATTCTTTTAACAATCAAAACTAAAAAAAACATTCTCTTACCTTAAAGTCTATGACCCACCTATTCCATTTCTCTTTACCCTATCCAGACATACACTAAATGAGTGTATACATATCTTCATGGTTTTGATTTACTAAGCATGGAATTTTCCTAATACAATCCAATTTATCACATTCACCCCTAAAGTCACATTTGAACCTTAAATTATCAAATCAATGACTTGGCAAGTCCAATTGAAATATGTAGGGGTGAATGAGTTAATCTTTTTAACATACTTGATCAGGATTTGTCTTTATCCGTTCCTTGAATTTTCTGAAAATCTTGTCATCCAAATTTTCTACTGTAGCCATTTTTTCAAGTTCACTTTTCGGGACACTATCTGGAATCAGATTGCCTGCTTTGTCTGATTTGAGGAAGTCCTGGTATTCCTCCCACTTTTCCTTTTCTCCTTTTGTATCACTTTCATCATCAGAGTCAACACCATCCAAATCTTCAGTTTCTGTGATAATTTCAAATTCTGGGAACAGCACACCTTTAACATCTGTTCTCACTGTTTCTTCTACAAAGAGATAGTATACATACTTTGATTATCAGACCTGGGTAGAAATGTAAAAACCTTTTTGCAAAATATACATTTTTGTCTACCTAATGCCTGCTAAGTATTTAATCTTATTTTTTGAGAATCTTAAGAATAAACCTTGATTTTGTGGGATTTTAAAATACAGGAGGTTCAAGGAGCATGTACTGTTCACTTAATTGTTATCTAGTGATGTATGTAATGATGTTGGCAAAATATACTTAATGCTGTAATGTGTAACATTTGATATGTACTTAATTTACATTCAGAAAGTAGCTACTTAAATTAACTCTTTTTAGGTCACCTGAGCTTTAGCTCTAGTGACCTATTGCCATCCGTTTTCGTCCGTCGTCCTCGTCCGTCGTCCATTAACATTTTACATTTCAAACTTAATGTCAAGTTCTGCTGGGCCGATTGAACTGAAAGTTGGTAGGAATGATCTACTCATAGTCCTGACAGTGTTGATATTTTTCAGGTCAATCAGAAATCCAATATGGCCGCCACGGCCGCCATTTTGAAAAACTATTTCAAACTTAAAGTCAAGTTCTGCTAGGCCGATTGAACTGAAACTTTGTAGGAATGATCGAATCATGGTCCTGACAAAGTGTTGTTATTTTTCGGGTCAATCAGAAATACAATTTTGCTGCCATGGCCGCTATTTTGTAAATACCTATTTCAAACTTAAAAACAAGTTCTAATAGGCCGATCTCACTGAAAATCGGTCTAGGAATGATCATCTCATGGTCCTGACAAAGTTAAGTTAACATTATACTTAACTATAACAAAAATAAATACTGTAGGACTCAGGTGACCGTTCAGGCCCATGGGCCTCTTGTTCTCTCATTATGCTTCAAAATCGTTCAAACCAAGAGGCCTAGAGTCATAATATTTGAACTAATTGTAGCATGCTTGGACAACGTTTTGCTCAAATGAACAACCTTGACTCATTTTCGTTCAAGGTCACANGCATAAGCTCACTTGGCACTTCGTGCCAGGTGAGCTAAAAATCTTTAAAAGGTACTGGTCGCAATTTAACTTTTCTTTAAAGGATTGTTTTAAAACTAGCATCAGATCAAGTAGTATATAAATTATAAAAGTTTACTTAGGCCAAATAAAAATATAGCTGTGTTTCCCGTTTCCAGACCTACCCTATTTTTTATGACGACCCCAATACATTTTATTGTGTTTTCACAGTAACTGTTATGCGTTACTTTATTAGCCGTTTATAATTGTAAAAGAGTCCAGTCGTGATGTCAGTGTTTGTGCCTTCAGCTGAAGCTGACCACCTGAGTCAAATTTACCAGTTGAACCTAGTTGTATAGAGGATTTCAGCAGCATCAACAACTTTAATGTACAGTACATGTGTAGGATTTTGCTAAGGGTCAGATAGTAAGGTAGTTCAGCTTGGGAGTCAAAGCAGGAGAAGGCAGTTCAGGGTTGGGGAGTTGAGTTAAGGAGTCTTGATGAAGGAGGTTGAGTTCAGAGGTTGAGTTGAGAGGTCTAGAGATAAAGAGGAGAGTTAGAAAGTTAGAAGAGTTAAAGTGAGAATTGGGAAGTTAGTATAAATATCAGTTTTAGCTGTAATTCTAGATCTGCATAGTTTTACAGTTTATAGTTGGAGATAAGTTTGGAGTAGAGAGATTGAGTTCACATTGGTGAAGACTTGTATATTTTATGACGGATTAAAAAGCTTGTGTTGTAAATATAGTGTTAATATAAATGTACTTGTTTTGTTGTTCAATTAATTTGAACTGGTGGCAGTGAAAATTGAGAACAGAAAGTATCAGTTATTGAGTTATATTATACAAAAGAGAATGAAACACTGGTGACCATCAGTGGTGTTTGGATTACTAAAAAGTTGTGTCCAGTAGAGATAATTAAGAAATGTAACACTGGTGACAGCACTACTGTAAACTAAGTTGGTTATTCCATAAACATTTAGGTGGGTCAAATAATAATTTACGTTGTGTACTTCAATGTGTTGTTTAAGCCTGCTCAACACCATCCTCGATATCCTGGGGTTGCGCTCACTTTCAATCTCTAGATCGAAAGTGAGCGTAACCCCTGGATATTGAGGATTGCTCAACACAAAAAGTAGGACTGCATTTTTTTTTATTTGTGTATTTATTTTACATGTATGAAAAATTATAAACTTGGTGCCATCCATACCTTATTTAAACAATAAGATATTTTTCGCATTCAGAGAGGTAATCAGGGAATTTTCTTCACCAGAAAAAAAAAGATTTTCCTACCTACCTACACAAATTTTTTGGACATTCATCGATTCCCTTCTTTGCAAGTTAGAGAATAGTAAGCTTGGTGCTAAAGTCCAATGCTTATTAACTGGAAATCCGACGTTAGCCGACGACATATCCTTGATCACAACTTCCCCGCTTTCACTTCAAAAGCTTCTGAACATTTGCTATGAATACAGTCGTGAGTGGAAATTCGTATTTAATCACTCAAAGTGTAAAACTGTTGTTATTGGAAATTACATCCCAAGACAGCCTGATGCTAGTTGGATGCTTGGACCTGTCACTATTGAGACCACCTCCTCTCAAGTTCATCTAGGAACTATTGTAAGCTCACAAATGTCTAACGCCGAACGCATCCAGGCTGCGTGTGACAAAGGGAGAAAGACGCTACATTCTATCATAGGGCTTTGTCCCTCAGCATGTGATATCAATCCTTTAGTAAAAATCAGTCTTTATAAGAAAGTGATACTACCTTCAATTCTATATGGATGTGAGCACTGGGTTCAACTCGGTAATACCGACCTCGCGAAACTTAGTCGCTTTCAACATTACGCTGCTAAGGTCATTCTTGGAGCTGATCGTCGTGCCAGGTCAGATATTGTTGAGCCTATACTTGGTTTGATTAGAATTTCTGCAGCTATTGATAAGAGGAAGCTAATATTTCTGGGAAAGCTTGTTCTGATGGAGCAGTCTCTCTTAACTAAGCAGATCTTCACAAGAAGACTATATTCATTCCTTCATTTGCAAACGGAAAATGTTGGAAGTGTTCGTGAAAGAGGGTTTGTTCCGGATATTGTGCAGATAATCTACAAATATAACCTGTCGTCTTACTTGGTTGCACACCTTCGTAACTACACGTTCCCCTCTAAGCTTCAGTGGAAGGGAATAGTGAGAAATTCCATAATGGCTACAGAAAACCTGACCCTAAAAGATCGACTAAGAAACAACCGTGATTTTGATATATTTAGGAACTGTCACTCCTCCTACAACCCGTACATTATGTTGCGCGCAGCAAAATCTAACAGAGACATAGAAGAAATTTATTCATTGTGCAGATTATTGGCAAAGCCTTCGCCACCTGACCAGAACGTTTGCTCCAAGTGTTCCCAGCATTTCTGTGACGTCATATCTCACTATTGCTGTACCTGTGAGTACACCAGCGAACTCCGGGCTCATTTTCTTCAGATGATCCTGCATAAGTTTGGATTGAATGTGTTCAATTACATTGATCAACATGACACTGCTACCTTTGTTCACAATTTATTAGGTGCAAAAACAGGTCCCCAATTTCAGGATGATACAACTCAAAAACTGTTTCTGATGCATGCAGCATACTTTGTCATGCGCGCTTCACGAACTCAAGTGAATGGAATGATTTAAGAAACCATGACTAAGACTTTTACTCGCATTCGCGAGGACACAGTTCTTTAGCTGCGCCCTACCGCGGCATTTTCTGTCCTTTTTTTAATTTTTGCTTTTTTTTTCTTGTACTCAAATATCTCCTTTTTGGAGGAAATAAAATGTGATGGACTATAAGTTATAACGGTCTATCTTAAACTTCAATGTACTGATAATGTAGAGAGAGGGAGAGAGAGAAAAAACAATATTTTCATGTGCTAACATGTTAATTTTCTCAAAAAGTGGTTTTGTTACCAGATTTTGTTTCATACCTTTGGTCGAACATGCAGCTTTGTGGCCACTCTTCCAGTCGATGACTTGGTGTTCTTTGCTACAGTAGGAGACTGCGTGACACTTAGCACACCGTTTGGGCCCTACAGATCCACAAACATAACATAGATCTGTGTCGGGAACAGGACCAGGGGTCGGTACATCTTCGCTAGGGGGATCTTGACTGTAAAAGTCGTTTTTGCGAGGCTGTTGACTCCTGAACACCAAAAAACTGAGGTTTGAATTTCTTGTTGAACAACCCGGATCCCTACATACGAAAACAAAAAGTGTTCGATGAAAAGCAGACGACACTTTGTCATCAGGGGAGTAGACTTGCATAAGGAAAATGGTAGGTTTATCACATGATTTACAATGTGTATCTGTGGGAAGTTGCTTCAGAGACAGCCATGATGGTTTTCCTCCAACTTTACTTGGAAAATATTGACTGCGTAGTAAATCTGGATTTGTTTCCTCTAAAAATCCTAACTCCACGTTTTCATTTCCACCCTTAGTCGCCATTTTTATCTTTTTTTCTGCATCAAGATCGTAAAAACACTTGAGGGGGCTGCAACTATAATGCTTTTCGACTAATCATGGTTGTTTTTATTCTTTAAATATACTCGCGTCTAATGACACAGCACTTGGTCAAATTAGAGGCGAGCATCAACATTTTGAGCTGAAAGTGAAACTTGACAAAGTTGTGAAAATGTCAGGACACGGACATGGTCACAGTCATGGAGGCGGTGGTTGTGATGACCACGACCACATAACAGAAGCTGAAAAAGCAGCTGCTTACAGCTTGTTTCTGAAAATTGACACTGAAAGAGTTGAATGTCTGAATGAAGCTGTGGATGGCTCTGGAAAGGATGTTTTCAAACCTTGGGACAAACGATTAGATAAAGAAAAGGTGAAACACGTTATTTAACCGAAGTTTTTAATTTGCCTTCAGTGTTATTCAGAAAAAAACGAATGTTGAAAAGGGAAAATGGGGAGGTAATTGCATTTAAGAAAATCTACACATGCTAAAAAATCATTGCATCTAGACAGGTATGCGTCTCTGGAATGATTATTGTCTGGTTGTTAAGTCTGGTACAATGTAAGAGTGCTTGGTCATGATCAATTGTCATTTTGTTTTATGAAAAAAAACTCCCCTCCTTTTCTAACCTTAAGTCACATTTTACAGTAATGTATGTCAACAATAATACATGGATGTTTTTTGTTCTCCTTTTTTTTTTTGCAAACACTGTTGAGACTTAAATTATTTATAAATTGTTGAACGATCAGGGGAAAGCTTGTACTTTAAGGATCCCTACAGTCCCACTGTGGCGCCGTGTTTTTTATGCCCCCGCCATAAAATGGGGGGGGGGGGGCATGTCTGTCCTGTCCCGATTCAATGTAAATTACACTTAGCAACTTCATTCTTTCACAGATTTTTGTCAAACGTTATACAAAGGTCAAGTATTATATACGTATGGTTGGGGGCATTCATGTCTTAAAGAAATTTTACAAACCTGAGATCTTAAGTTTAAAGCCACCTTGGTCAGACTAATTTTGAGACCATTGTCTTTATTTCAGTTTGTGGAAAGTGATGCTGATGAGGAACTACTGTTTAATATCCCGTAAGTCTTGCATTGTTTCACAACTATCAGCATCACATCAGATTGAAGTTAGAAGTTAGACTTAACACTTAATCAGAGAGTATTTATAGACCAGTACTTTCAATCTGATCTAAATCAAAGGTTAGAACCAGCTCTGATCTAAATAAGAGGTTAGACCAAATACATGTACTTTTAATCTAATCTCAATCCATGCATCATATATATATATATGTCTTAGATCCCCACTCTAAAATTACATGTTTTATTGCTGTGCATTACAAGACAGTGCAACCATGCTACTAGGATCAATCTTTTGGCCACAAAAAAACACATTAATATTACCAGACTTTGCCTCAGCTCAATAACTGCCACTGGAGACTAGCATCCCAGTTCTTAAATTGAACTGATTTAGATCCCTTCACTATGACAATTATAGATACAATTGCTTCATTGGCTCATAGAGAAAAGCTCAATCATGCCTTGTACATTAATAACAGCAATGGATTCTCAGTCAGCCTCCAACCTCAGGACTTAAATAGTTTCTGTGTGTTAACATCGAATAGGTTGAGATCCCCACCCTTTATTTGTTCATACAAGGGCATGTGCTTGGTTTGAAAAGACAAATGCACTTATGCTACTGAGATCACCCCTCAGGAACATCCTGCTGGCCTCTTGGTGCTTGGTTCATAACTTGGAAATCCTCACCGTAAAACCATATAACTACTGGCTTGGCAAAAAAAGACACATATATACTAAATGCTACCAGGATTGGCTGAGGGGTCGAGCCCTGTCCTCAGTGACTTACTCCTCAGGTCATAGAAACAATTGAGATCTGCACTCTTGTTACTGTTCTTTCATTTACCGGTACTTTAATTATTCTGACATATTTCTTAAAACTTACTAGCTATATGTAGCTGGATCCTTATAAAATCTGAGTATTGAGCAGCATGTGTACATGAGTAACCTACCTTTTTCCTTGATTTGAAATCCAAATTGCCTGCCATGGCCTCTGATTGAGAAATTTAGGGATATTTTGTTTACTTGAGTTCTATTGAGCTGCCATTCTCTCTTTGTGGGAGCAATATACACAGGGGTAAACAATCAAATATTCAAACTTTTTATGTTTTGGAATTTTAAATAGCTTCTTCGGCCTCTCATTGGTCTGAATAACCTGTAGCTATAACATTATTGGTCCAATTAAGATGTTACTTTGTCAAAGTGCAGTAATGCCGCAAACCTGCACTTTTTAAAAAAAAAAATCATTCAGCACTTATTCTGTATATTACACAGATTTACTGGCAATGTGAAGTTGAAGGGAATTATTGTAATTGGTGGTGGAGAGGAGACTCACCCTAATCTGATGAGAATGTGAGTATCAACACTGATTGACAGAGTCGGGACAATCAGTGATCAGGAGGTTCAGGTGTTTTTGTTAACAATCAGTTATCAATTTAACAATTTCTTTTACTAAAAAGTTGTTTCGATAAATTAAATGATCGAACCCAGAAGCAATTAAACACTCATTTTGACACAAACCTGGTAAAGGTGTCGGTGTCATAGTGGATGACGTCGCCAAACGACTTTAGCTGATGAATGGCCTCCACAATATGGTGACGCTGCTGTCATGTAATTATTTGTAGGGGACAATTTATAATCCAAAACAATATAAAACATATACATTGTAATCGTAAAGTTTATCCTTTTCTTTTTTTTTGGCAGTTACAAGAACCGACCACATATGACCTTTGACACATGTGGTGCTGAACCTGACCAGAAGTTTGAGTTACATCCGGACCCAACTGGGGCCTTAGAATACAGTACAAAGTAAGTCTTAGTACATCACACCCTACTGGGGCCTTAAAATACAGTACAAAGTAAGTCTTAGTACCATCACACCCTACGTTTACTTGGGCCTTAGAATACAGTACAAAGTAAGTCTTAGTCCCATCACACCCTACTGGGGCCTTAGAATACAGTACACAGTAAGTCTTAGTACCACCACATCCTACTGGGGCCTTAGAATACAGTACAAAGTAAGTCTTAGTACCATCACCCCTTACTGGGGCCTTAGAATATAGCACAAAGTAAGTCTTAGTGCCACCACACCCTACGTATACTTGGGCCTTGGAATACATGGGGCATCAGAATACAGTCCAAAGTAAGTCTTAGTCCCATCACACCCCCCTGGGGCCTTAGAATACATTACAAAGTAAGTCTTAGTACCATAACACCCTACTGGGGCCTTTGAATATAGTACAAAGTAAGACTTAGTACCATCACACCCTTCTGGGGCAGCAGAATACAGTACAAAGTAAGGCTTAGTACCATCACACCCTACTGGGGCCTTAGAATATAGTACAAAGTAAGTCTTAGTACCATCACACCCTTCTGGGGCATCAGAATACAGTACAAAGTAAGTCTTAGTCCCACCCACACCCTACTGGGGCCTTAGAATACAGTACAAAGTAAGTCTTAGTCCCACCCACACCCTACTAGGGCATCAGAATACAGTACAAAGTAAGTCTTAGTCCCACCCACACCCTATATCTATATGCTGTCAGGGTGTGGGTGTATGTGTGTGTATGGGTACGAGTGTATATGTGTGTATAATTATGTGTGATAAATATGTATGACTCGATCAAGTAATATATTTGTCATTTTGAGTGTGTGTATGATGTATTTATAAATACATAATTTGTAGTTAAATTTCACATAATTGTACACTTTTTATGTTTTTGTGTTTATGTATATAGGTCTAAATTGCTAGGTACATTAGTATTTGTACTCTTTTTTATTTCCCCAGACATTCCTTCTTAAACTAATCCAAATTACACATGAAAAACAACATCATTCAAAGTACATGAATTTGGTTTGATCTTGTCTAAATTTTAGGACAATATGGCAATCCCAAATCAATAAAGCAGAATTTTTGGCATGTAAATGAATTTATAAATATAAAAATACTTTCAATATTTGAATATATAAAGAAGGAATGCTTGATGTAATTTAATATATCAATTTAATCAAAATAAATATTATCGTTATTGTAATGAATGAAATATATGTATGAAAGAATGAATGATTTTTAATTTGAGTATGAAAGAATGAATGAAAAAGAAAGAGGGTATAAAGAGAAAGAGGCCTTTTGCATGAGGCTATATTATGTAAGAGGGATGATCCCGGGGCACCCCAACCCTGGCATCCCTCCCAAAGATGCTGGGGGAATAAAACAATTTGAACCTAAATAAAAAAAAAATAAAAAAATAAAAAAACAGAATACAGTACACAGTAAGTCTTAGTACCACTACACCCTTCTGGGGCCTTAGAATACAGTACAAAGTAAGTCTTAGTCCCACCCACACCCTACTGGGGCATCAGATTACAGTACAAAGTAAGTCTTAGTACCATCACACCCTTCTGGGGCCTTAGAATACAGTACAAAGTAAGTCTTAGTACCATCACACCCTACTGGGGCCTTAGAATACAGTACAAAGTAAGTCTTAGTCCCACCCACACCCTACTGGGGCCTCAGATTACAGTACAAAGTAAGTCTTAGTACCATCACACCCTTCTGGGGCCTTAGAATACAGTACAAAGTAAGTCTTAGTACCATCACACCCTACTGGGGCCTTAGAATACAGTACAAAGTAAGTCTTAGTCCCACCCACACCCTACTGGGGCCTCAGATTACAGTACAAAGTAAGTCTTAGTACCATCACACCCTTCTGGGGCCTTAGAATACAGTACAAAGTAAGTCTTAGTACCATCACACCCTACTGGGGCATCAGATTACAGTACAAAGTAAGTCTTAGTCCCACCCACACCCTACTGGGGCCTTAGAATACAGTACAAAGTAGGTCTTAGTACCATCACACCCTACTGGGGCCTTAGAATACAGTACAAAGTAAGTCTTAGTCCCATCACACCCTACTGGGCCCTTAGAATACAGTACAAAGTAGGTCTTAGTACCACCACACCCTACGTATACTTGAGCCTTGGAATACATTACAAAGTAAGTCTTAGTGCCACCACACCCTACGTATACTTGGGCCTTGGAATACATTACAAAGTAAGTCTTAGTGCCACCACACCCTACGTATACTTGGGCCTTGGAGTACATTACAAAGTAAGTCTTAGTGCCACCACAGGTTAGTCTAATATAACATCTGAGGGAGATGTCACAAATATGGTTCGGCCCTACAAATAGACCGACTTCATTCAAATCCGGCTGATCAGGTAAGTCCAATGTTCTACTAAGGGAGATAAGGTTTTGCAGAAATACAGGTAATCCGTGGCGGTGAACTTCGGCCACATTTAGCCAGCTGATCAGCTGCTTGCTGTTTGACGAGTAGCTTAAGTTATCAAAGCATGGTTAGCTTTACAGTTCTTTTCTTGTGTTAATATATTGGTCCTGTCGATCTATTCTGTGACTATACTGAAACGGACAGAATGTTTTGGAGAGAGTTTCATAATATTGCTGGAAAGAATAGTCATATTCAAGTGGTCAGTTGTATAATTTCAGGCTTATTTGCAGTGGGAAATTTTGTGATATAAAGCAAAACGTTAGTGACCCAAACATTGTGACGGGAACTGTGTATTGTAGCTAGGTAGGAACATGTTTTTCACATACATATGGCTAGTTAAGAAAGTATTGAAGTGAATACTTTCTCTGCCTATTATTTGGCTACCACAAAATGGCGTCACTACGGTATGAATGAAAATGCTAGGGGTCGCTACTGAAAACAGTTGCATATGAATGAAAAGTATATGAATGAGATCCATATAAGGAGATATCAGATTCCATATAAGGGCAGAGAGACCATATAAGGTTACAGATGGTGTTAGTGTCAAATGTGCAAATCCACATTAAGCAAACTTCGTAGTATGCACGATCCCCTAGACACCTGCGCTACCTAACGCATGTGTCAAAAAGAGGCTGTTGCTTCTAGACCCTAATTTGACCTGTGCATTGCAACTCCTGACAGTTTAAACATTATAAGCTGTATTAATAACTTATGTTTCAGAGTCGCCAGATTTAATTCTGTGGAACATCTTTCCATCCATTTCCCAAGTAATTTTGGTGCAGACAACACAAAGGTTTACTACATTGGTCTAAGAGGGGATTTTACTGAGGTAAATGATCAGCTTTTAATTTACATATGTCAAACTCAAGCTCATTTTAATAAAAAAAAAGTTCAATAAATATATTGATGTTATGGAAACCGAAAATGAATCTTCATTATCCTATATTAACAGGCACTTTAATGGTTGTCAGTCGATATTTTATAGAAAGTTTTTATCTTCACAGGCCCATCGACACGAGGTAACCATATGTAACTATGAGGCCCGAGCTAATCCATCCGATCATAAAACTAACTTAATGGACAGTGTAAACCACCAGATCAGCTGATCTAAGAAATATGGGTTTCTCCGCGTATCAACAAGAAGATCTTCCTTTACTTGTTTACGTTCATACTGTGGGAAGGAGTTCATTCCTACCTGGTGTATGCCTGGAATGGATTTTCTTTGGATGAAAAGTGTATGATAATAACCAGTCTCATTGCTTATAATAATGTTGTACATTGCAACTTTTCAGCTATGTGATATTCGTGGTTACACACTGCTTCAGTCTCGCTCATCCAACAAGAGTACAAGAAAAGTTGAAAACATCTTTTCTTACAGTCTTCACGCTCCAGTGTGATGGCCTGCTGTCATTGTAGTTTTATTCATGTCAAAAATGCTAACATTTCCAAATATTCTGTGGGTTTTTTCCTTGATTTACGTTTCTTTCGTAGCAATACAAAATACATTTCGGGAGAGTTTTCATAGAAGAAAGATTAATCCATTGCTTACGAAACCTCCAGAAGTACAAGTGGTTTAATGTAAGGAGTGCTATACTGTAACGTATCCTAGTATCTGATAGTTGCTTCTGTATCGGTAACATTGGCAGTAGTGATCACATTTCACCGTTATGTTTTATTATGACATGTGGGATATGTGTAATTCCTAATAGAGGCAAATAAAAACACCAGCTTGATGGCAAATTGTTTTGTTATCTCTCATTCATTGTAGCTGAAGATTCACAGTGGAAATAACTACATCAATTGCGAAACAATCTACATGTATAGATCCCCAATGATAATGATATCTTTATTTACCATGCTGTACACCTATCCTAGGATCAACCTTCTGTAAAGTAGCCCGATATAGAGGCAATTTTTTCCAATGATTGTGGTCAGCAGTCAAAATAGAGATCCATTGACTTGCTTTTGGTACAGAAAACTCTTGTCATCTCAGAGATATTCCTGCATACCAGTACCAATTTTGGTTACAGCTTTGGACAACCTTTTTCATTTGTTAAGGCCAAAGGTCAATGCATACATCACAGTGACTTTACTTTTCATAAAATGCACTCCACCATTGCAAGACCTACAAACTTAATTTGGTTAATCAGTCAAACATTATTGGAGATTTGCTTGGAACAAAAAAACAAAAAAAGTTAAGGTCAATGGTTAAAGCATATAGGTCACAGTGACCTAGTTTTTGTTCTCAACACTATGCCATTCCAAGATGTAATTGCATACAAAATCTGGTAACTTAAGGTGACCAGTAAGGGGCTATACCGGACACATTTTCTACCTCCTTTCTAAGGACAGATCATTTGAATAAGTGTCTGTATTCTTAAGATAATAGCTATAAGTACCAACAATTTCACTATCTCATTACCAATGTCAATATTGTTAAATATGAATTTTGTTCAAAAGACACACTCCTTACATTGCAAAGGGTGTTTTTTTCAGAATTCTAGTTGTTCATTTGAATGTTTGAAAATAGAAATATAAAAGAGAAAAGCTACAGTGAGTCCAACTCAGGACTTTTGCATTGCAAACCCTACACTTCACCAAGGTTGCCATCTAGCATCATAATGAGTCAAATTTCTGAACTGCCAAGCCTATGAAGAACACAATGAACATTAAAACATAGATAAATTAACAGGGGAAGTAACTTTTAGCCAGAGTAAACAACTTTGCTTGCTTCAACTTCTAGATTGAAGGGAGAATACTCTCAGTAGAAAAAACTCAAGAGTGGACCTCTTCTGAAGGATCAGTATCACAGCTTAAAAGACAAGTAAGAGTCAATGTTAAGATGAAACAGATTTATTTGAAAAATTACAGATTTTATAGATATGGGTTATTCCATGTATGAATAAAATATGGGAGCTGGGGAGCACGGAAGCAATTGTTATTGATAAGATAAACATATATTGTTTTTTTGTGTTAAAATAATGAACATTTTTGTAGTTGTCAGTCAGGCTAGGGGTCTAAAATAGCTTCCACGTACACATACCTGATGTGTTGCCAAACCTCTCTATTATTTAAAGAGTTGTGTAAATTAATCTAAAAAAGGCACATTATTTTCACATTCAACAAATCAATCAAAATACATTTGAAATAGAGGTAGAAAAATCAAAATAAAACGAACAATTATTGCTTTTTATACTATATGTATAATATCATTATTATTGTATATATCAATGTATCAATGTGAGTAGTTGGTAGAATTAAGATATACATGTTTGTTAAAATCGCTTACACTTTTATTCTGGCAGATCAAAAACATGTTCAAGTTGAGTTCAACCAGCTACTAGCCGGTGTTAGAACTTACCCTGCACAACTGAAGTGAATGTTATATACCATACAACAAAAGTAAAGGTACATTATGTAGAATATCAATCATTACACAACCATTACTCTGAAGTGCTGTTACAAGTATATCTTTCAATTTAGTACCAAATATATTAAATAAAAAAAACAGATTCAGTATAATAACAAACATAAAACTCAGTTCAGTAACACCCAAAAATCAAAAATTGTTTTTAGTAACATGCATATATAACAATCCCAAATAGTTTCAGTTTCGATACATGATAATCAAAAATAATTTGTTTAGTGAAAAACTGTGTATTTGTTATTTACACTTAACATATTCATGGTATCAAAGTCAGTATTAGTACAAAGTGCTAAATTATAACAACAAAAATATTAAATATATAAAAAAAAATCAAAAAAAAAAATCAACATACAAATGAAGGGTGCTCCCTTAAGGTACTGTTCTTATAATCTTCTTGACATGTAATAACAGACTCATATAAATAATGTTAAAAAGTTAGAAAAATAAAATGGCAAGAGATATATTTTGTGGGTGAAACCTGTCTTTACCAACATCACATTGGGCTGAGTAATTTTGTCCAATATGACATCGTGTGCATTAATTCATTCACCCCTGAAGACACATTTGAACTCTTCCAATTCAAAGATTGGAATAGTTCATCATGCAATTCAGGGGTGAATGACAAGACAGAATCATGTCAGTGTTTCATGGACATACATTAGAGGATCTCCTTAATACTCAGGTTTCGTTCAAGACAGGTGTTACTGTGTAATGTAGATGTACATTGTGCAGTTATATAACATAATGTTGCTGCACCCTGCGTAGAAGGCAAGAAAGATGAAAATGTTAATTAATCGGTACAAATTAATAATTCTCAAAGGCAAGAAAGATAAATATGTTAATTAATCAGTACAAAATATATAATTGAGAGTAACTACCATCTTTAATTATATAGAATAATCCACTTTTCTCCCTGCTGAATTTTTACACATTACTTTGTTTTCCAACACAATTATTGCTACAATAAAAATTAATTTCAATACAAATATTGCTCAACAAAATTTGCTCCCTTGAATTTGAATAACACAACACATTTTAAAAAGAAACTGACAAAATAAATTTGAATTTGTTTTGGGGAAAAACAAGTTAATATATCAAAATTCCTTTCTATTTTGAAAACATTACTACATTTCAATGTAAAAACAAAAAGATGGTCTCATTTGTGGAAACACATTTCAATTCAAATATGAAATTTCAATAAATTTCAATGTGCATAGTAGGGAAACATTGCATCAGTACAATATATTTAGTAACATCAGACAAAGCAGGGTTTACAAAATTTTGAATCAATAAAAACTAAAACGCTTAAATAAAATCTAAACTATTACAACGTATATTATGTAAAGCTATTTCTTTCCCGTCATGAAATAAAAAACAACTACAAAATTTGAATATATACCAACTTGATCATGAACACCACATAGAGGCTATGCCATTATGATCTTGTAGCGGCATACAATTGAAAATTATCGTAGTGTGGACATTCTCAGGTGTTTTGTTTTGAGTAAATTAGCATGAAAATATCCAAACACGAGTATGAATATATACCAGGTAGGTTACATAGATCATAGATATGTACATATAGAAAAGAATATATAAATTGCAGAACCATTTTCAACTTAAACTTTGTCAACACTGTCAAAATGCGAACACTTCCACATGCAAAAATCAATTTTACTTATGTGGTAATGAATGCACTGTGATGAGAACCCACCTTGATACTTTTCATTTGTTTTGGGTTTAACATCCTCGCAACAGCCAGGGTCATATGAGGACGGTACCTTGATACAGTATTATATAAATATATTTTCTCTTGTACAACCATTTTTTCTCACATGACAAGGTATTTTTTAGTTTAGCACATAAATTCATGATCACTGGTTACCCTACCAGTTTATATTTTCATAAAACAACATCAATCTTAATAAGAAAGGTCCGAATCATAATTTTATCACATACACAGTTGTCAATTCCTGTGCAGAGGACCTTATTGTGTTAGTACAATAAAACACATTCTATCAATGAGATTCAAATTAATTTTACTTATGCTGAGACAATTAACCTTCAAAATGAAGATACATACCAGTGCAGTAAACTTAACAATGGAACCGATATTGCTTTAGAGCTGTTTAAGAACAATATAATAAAACCGTTCCAAAATTGATCACTTGTATGAACCTGCCACCAGCATGTAATATAGGAAATCTTTACTGCTAATAATGTGTTCTTGATCTCCCAGGATGTATCAAACATGGTAGAGTATTGAAAGTAATCCCTAGTTTCTCACCTCCAGAGAAAATTCAGTAATTCAAGGAGATAGTCATTCAGATCCCCTGCCAAAGGGAGTTTTAGAAAAGATTTTGCCAAATTCAGTTCAGGGTTGGTGTTATAGTGAGTTTGTCTTTCAGTTTTACTGCAATTCATTTTAATCTAAATTTCAGACCTCCAACTTTGTCTCAGACTTGTGTATTAGGGAATTGGACTTATTATATTTCAATATAATTATGCAGTGAAAATATTTTACAAATTTCACACACTATAAAAATAAGAATTAGTTATTGAAATGGTGAATTTGACAGTTTTTGCTATGTGTCTTCATTATGAAAGAAAAAATATAGTAATAAATGAAGAATAGCACAAAGCACCACTAGATCAAAACATGTATCAAGTTTTGTGACATTATTTTCGATTGTTTTAGAGTTATGCTCTTGGAAACGGCATATTCCGGACAAACCTTGTTTGTATATCCCCCCGTCAACTTTGTTGATCGAAAATGATCAAAGGGCAATAACTCTACATTCAGTCATCCTTATTTGTTGATTTGGTAAGTTTTGAATATTTCACCTAGTAGACATGGTCAAATTTTCCCAAAGTGGACATGGTGTCCAGACCAATTTCAATGTATTACGTCATTCCTGTGCCAAATGCCACCATTAATTTGTTGACAAACAGATAATTATACCTTTTTGCAGTCGTATTAAAAGTCTTTGTTTGTTGGCTGTGTCGTTGAATGGGATTGTCCATCTATGATAAGCTAAAAGAAGTGACACTAATAATGGGAAATATGCACACACCTAATCCATCACTTGTTCCCGTGGTACGGGCGAGAGATAGAATTCAAATTTTCAAACAAAAGATTTCGAAAAATGGATAATCCTTTACAAACAACGGTGATTTAATCCCGAGACCAACTTGGTGTATACATACACTTGTATTTCACCTTTACCTTAATTATATTATGCATATATGGAAATAATATAAATAGTAATAAGAATATGTGTGTGTATAATACCTATAGGTTCTAAATTTTACTATTTACCAGATAACTGTTTCACATAACATAACATAGAACTACATCAATCCCAACCCGGTATTAATAAATTTCACTTTATAAAAGAACTTTCACAAAAAAAATATTTTTAATGAGATATTTCAAACCAAAAAAAAATAAAAAAATAAATCGACTTTGTCTTTCTATGCACAGATTGTTAGATCACCATGGCAATGCTGCATAATCTTTTGATCATCATGCAATTATCAAAGCAAGTACCGTATACCGAGAAATTTTTGCAGCAGTTTAATTGTTTTTTTTATCAATTTTTGCTTTTTCAACCTCTGTAATAAGGGCAAATTTACCATTACAGCGAATATAAGTAAACTGAGTATGATTTGGCGAATATTTATTGCCCGGTATACAGCACCACCAAAAAGAATGAAAAATTAATTAAAATGCATTGAAGATATGTTTGTCAACATCAAATTTTATCTTCTTAGTCCTTTTAAATATGATATTACATAATACCTGCCTCATACACCAGACCTTGAGTGCCATGTTACCGTGAACTAATTCTGTGTACAAGTATATTTGTTTCGAGTGTTTAAGATATGTTTACATTGATCAATGAAACAGTTAGCTTATTAACGACAACCAATATAAGCTGTTCCAATACCAAAATTACCAAAGGGGAAGCATTCTGTCATAACCTCATATTCGCCTATCTTTATTTCGTGTTTACCAAACATTTTTGTCAGGTATAGAATGGTGTAGGCAGCCAGTTCAAACTCGGGACTGGTTCCAAGGAATATGCTGCTCATTTTCTTGATGCCCCCAACATCCTCATCTTCATCCTCATCTCCAACCATCTCAAACTGGAGGGTAAGCAGACGGAAAGACTCGTCAGAACAGTCCTGTAAGAGAAATTATATTTTTTTTTATGAAACAGCTTGCATGTATGAAACCACAAAATATGCCAATTAAAACGATTTTGTATTTAGTATTGATTATTATCTCTTAAGAACTCTTAACATTGGTTCAATACAAACACGAAAGTATAATCCATTATCCTACCGTTTTAAATCCAAAATATCCATGGTAATCAATCCGACCGGCTTGCTCCTCCAGGTAAAACTGTAACCAGTTGTGAAGACCTACGATCTTCCCTTGTTTCGCCTCCCCAACAAACACATGCTCAAAGCTGCTGGAATCCAAGTCTCTGTGGTTACAAAAAGAGGCACTTTAAATTGTAGTGTCCCAGAAATCAAACCATTTTACAATCCAATTACTTTCAAGATGGTTTCCAAGTTGGCTTGACAAACAAGGGTCTTCTGTATAGATTTTGTTTAGGTTTTATTTTATTTTGTTTAACATCCTATCAACAGCTAAGGACATGTTATTGAAGGACGTGCCTCCATGTGTGTAGTTTATGCTAGTGTGTGTGTGTGTGTGTGTGTGCAGGAGGCAGGGTATATAAACATTAGACTGCATCTTTTTTATTCTCATGCAAACAGCATTCGCATTACCAGGTGCTGTATGAACAATTTAGAATACAAATGTGCATGTAAAATCATTTTTTCTCAGTGACTGCTTTTTCTGCTTAAAAGTTTCTGCTGTTCAATTCCACTGGCAAACTACTACATGTCATTCAGCCAAATAACACAATAATTCTATTTTGTGAGTCTTAGCAAGTGTGTGGACAAAAAATATGACGTTGTTTTCTAAGTCACCATTCAAACTCAAAGACTCCCTACATATAAAGGAGTCTTTCGCAAAGTTTCAAACCAACTATATATATCTTTTAATGAACTTTTTATTAAAGAATCAGAAAAAAAAAAACACATCAAGGAAACTTTTATGGTAAGCCTTCAAATTTTGGGTATGACATTTGAACCTGCGGAATCTTACCTGTCCCCTCTCGTCCTTCTGTACAGAGAAAACCAAAGTTTGTACAACATCTTCATAAAATTGAAGTCAAGCGCAATGCCCTTTTCTTCCAACACACTGTCAGGAGTGAAGTAATGGTCAGGTAGGACATCTTTTGAGATGAGCCAAGCACGAGCCTTCTGCATCACATCTGTTTTCATCACAGCCTCGATGAACTGACGATTTTCTTTGACTTCCTCGGGAGTCACCTTTTCTGCTTCACCACACTCCAGTGTATAGTTGTTTAAAAGATCCTTGAAAGCTGAATTCAAGAACAATTTCATTAAAACTAAATCAGGTGAACAAAGTGCCTTTCCAATCAGCCCAATCCTCGATACTCTAAGAGGTTACACTCACTTACATTCTCATTGTAAGTGAGTATTATCCCTGGAGTATTGATGATGATTAGCCCTGTGGGTCATCCAATTGTACATTTTATCAGTATTTTAATGATCCCCATACCCCCAAAAACGGTCTCTGTAAAGCTGGAATCAAATTAATATTTTTTAGGAGAGGAACTAAGATACGTGCATTGTTGAACTAAGGGAGATAATTCAATGCAATGCCTTCATCTCAGGATTAGAATTTAGACTGATCCTGGAGTATGACAACGTGGTGTGGGATCCTTGCTACAAAAGTGACACCAACCCCACTGACTGAGCACAACACCAAGCCACTCAATTTATAGCTTAGCAATAGAAGGACTACTGCATCGGGACACCAGGATTCATATTATCAATGATCTAAATCTACCACCATTTGAGGATTACGGCACCGTAACATCAGACTGGTATACAATTACAAGTTGAGGGATTGGTGGTATAAGCCATACTACCTCAGAAATAAGCTTGTCAGTGAAAATCCCTGGTTGAAGTACACTACTATCTCTTCTGTTACATAAGAAGTTTAAAAATGATCAATACTTACCACTGTATGTCTCCATCGAAAAGATTTTGTCTTTATCAAAGAAGTTAAACAGTGAGTGTCTTGAAGCATCTCTCTCGGTCCTAGTACTGGCTCTTCCTGTAAGGTTTAGAAATTTGAAATCATGAAATACAAACTGCAATATTTTTTAAATAAAGGTAATTTAATGATGCTGTCCAGCATAACACAAAAATAATAGGGTGTAATACCTGATGCCAAGTATTCTTCACAAAGTAGTGCATAATTTAGGTAGTCTCTGCTGGAATTTATCCATGAAAAACATTGACAAAAAGATAAATTTTGGAATGAAATATTCAATGATAAAACTCAATGAGATATAAGCTGTGACAGTTTTTGTTTTAGAACCAAAGTATTTTGATATGTATGTAACATACATGAGTAGTAAATACATGTACCTTGTAAACAAACTTCAAAATCTTGTCCATGGTAACATTTGTTGTCATCAGAAGCCCACAGCTCATTCATGATCTGTTCCAAGGCTTCGACCGACACCAGTGGTTCTTCTAAGTTGTCGCCATGCCCCTTTCCTCTGTCAATACGGAATTTCCTTACATTTAAGTGTAACTCAATAATTTTCAGCAGAGTACAAAATTGTAAATAAATGTACATACCAATTCTACACATAGCTTTGAGAAGATTGCATGACACTAGCACAGGAAGTAAACAAGTTGAATTACAACTTTTCTGCATAATTAACAAGAGAAGAGTCCAATAACATAGTGCCAGCATTTTGATAACTAATAAGTATAGGCGTCCTCTCTAGGGAGACGATGGACTACTGTATATTACTTCAGTCTCTGAAGCACATCTTTTACATGCATTTAGACATGGGACCTACCACAGCCAGATGTCCAGAGCAAGTCAACTTAATGTCAGGGCTGATGGAAATTTCCAATATTTTAAGTGAGAATAAAAAAGTGGGCTAGTAGATTTTAGTTCAAAATCTGCCCACAGGCTAATACTTAGAAATGTAAATCAAAATATTTCAAAAGTAATACAGTTATGCAAAGTTGATTCAGAACCAGAAAAATGTTGGAGAGTGGTCACCTCAGAATTTATTTTCCCTGATCCACTTTACCGCTTTGTGCTGAACTAGCCAAAGAATATGTCAAAAAAAGTCAACCACTATCAAAATCAGTGATTTTTTGTTGCTCAGGTTTACTGCCAAATTCAGGCTGTTTCTCCTCACTAAAAAATGCATTATTTTCCCAAAAAGACCAAAAAAGTAAGGAATATATATTATATTCCCAACTCAACACAAATATATATATGATGCTATATTTTCCCAATTCATTAGGGAACAGGCAATTGTAAAATTTATGTAACAAAAAAAGTTTTATTTAAATGGACAAAAAAAAATACCATGTCCATTTAATAGACAATTATTGTCCTACAACTGTAATTGGATAAGAGTAATAATAAATAATGGGTGACCCAACACTCCTAATGTAGGACTTTGCGGTAGTGTCTCCGGTCGGATCCTAGGGATTCAATAGAGTTCCTTACTGATAAAGCATAATAAAAATAGAAAAAAGTTTCACAAAAAGTCTTCGTGTTGTTGAGATTCCTTTTTTATTTTTATTATTGGATAAGAGTAGTACGAAATATACTGTTTTCACTAGGGATAAAACCACTGACCCACAGCTAAATTCCTAGCTCACCCCTCTACCAACTGAGCTGAATGGAAATCCTCTCCAACATGAAGCTATATATAGGCGACCATTAATCCTAAGTACAATCAAATGCTGTCAAACAACAACCTTTCGTTTAAAATTGCCTACATATTAAGAATGTGCAGACATTGCCAGACAAAATAAAAGCATGCCCAGATTTTAAATATATGTATGTTTCAGTGCCTGATATTTAGCTGTCAGTCATCAGTTGACTGGTAGATTACAGGAGCTTACCTGCTGTTGTCTTACCTACCAGTAGATCTATTATACCTACTGAATGTCGGACAGCCCATTGCAATGAGCCAGAAAAGTTGATACTTAATCAGTTAATGTTTTACTGTTAAACACCAGTTTAATAATCAATAACACATGTGTTCAGCCCTGATCAAAATACACAATTTCATTTTGTGTCTGCCCATCACCATCTTATGATTAACTTAGATGTAATGTCAGGGCCACAAGTGAGTAATCTGGGCCGTTTACGGTTTATTCCACAATCTCAGACATATTCATAACACCACAAGTGCTTTCCATAGATCAGATTTTATATTGTGAAGTAACATTAGGGATCGGAAACGAAAACCCATGGTAAGGCGAGTCTCAAACTGAGAATCTCATGCTAACTACAGGTTTATGTAAATACTTTAGTGCTTTTCTGCTTGCCTTGATAATTTTGTACAAAACACATGTTACATGAGAAATGCAAGTGCCACGCCTATTTCATTCATTGAAAGATCATCCGATCAATAATACATTAATATTACCCTTTTCTCTGTTGGTAGTGTGCCATCGTTACTAAAGAGCCGGTCCACGTCACCCACTTCTTTTACAAGATGGTGTCAATAGCTGAGAATGATGTATGTCAAACTTGACGGGTCCGTTGCCTCTCACTGTTCCAAACTCCCCCAGGCAATGTAAAAGCAGTCCGAGAAGTTCCAAACGAACACACCTAGCAGACGCTTTTACAGTTGTTGGTACCGACACGTTCATTGGTCTATGCAAGCATACGATAATCTATAAACCAATGAAAATCAACGTGTTATTTCGGTTTCATTCATCTTGCAGCATGGCTACGTACAGATACTTGTCACCAGAGATTCTGTCTGGTTTTGATCGATATAAGGTAAATTATGGAAAATGTTACGTATTATTTCGCTTTAATGTCTATGATAATAACAGTGAATAATGTTTGATCAGACATTTTATTTTCCAAGGGGCGTATATGCTCCAAGTTGCAACAATACATGGGTGCTGATCAACCTTTGGGCTCTTGTCATAGTTTTGACTGACACTGACAGCTCGACATTTCATTACACGGCGTTCGATTTTTAAGAAATTATGTGATTGTTTAAAACTGCACTTGTTATATGTGTTTAATTTAAATTATATGTCGCTTAACAGTTGGCATTGTAATAATTTATGAATCTCATGTGAGGAAATGAAAACGTGTTAACTTGGTAATATAAATCAGGTTGGACACAATGGCATATGGGTACTAATCCTGCATTCGGGTAACAGTTACCCATTTCAGCAATAATTTTATTACTGAAATGGGTAATAAAGTGAAATAAAAACACACAAAGTTCTTTTACACCTTATAAACAAAAAAAGGCATCATTCTTTCAACATAATACAATGAGGTACATATTGTGTACAAAAATATGTAAATTCAGTTTTCTAAATTTTTGTGAAAATGACAAATTGTATCACCTCCATTTGCTTAAAGTGTGTTGTAGAGTAGCTTTATTAAATGGCACACATAAAAAATCATGCTCACCTGTCACATTTGCACTGGATAGTCCCATTGACTGTATACACACTGAAGGCAATGGAGAACAAAGTCAGTGATATGGTTTGTCCTTTTCACAAAAAGTTAGACATCAGAATTGATAAATTTTTGTGCACAAATGTACTTCATTGTGTTATTTATTAGATTTAGTTGACATAATGACGCCCATTTTTGCTCCAAGTGTTTAAACGAACTTTGTGTGTTTTTATTTCACTTGATTCCCCATTTCAGTAATAAAATTGTTTAATACTCAAATGGGTAACTGTTACCCAAATGCAGGATTATTACCCATGTGCGCCGTTGTGCCCAGCCTAATAATGTGTGACTTTTGTACTGCTTGAACAATTCAATAATTCAGCCAGATCAGAAAATCTTGAGTCTGAGTTATGTCAGTTATTAACGTTTTACTTGCCCAATTAATAACAAATCCTAAAGGTGGGTTTAATACATGACATGTAAAAAGTAAGATGAAAAAGAGTGATGTGTGTTTCAGTTCAGAAATATCAGATGATGTAAAATATTTTACATATATATCACCGGGTAAATGTACATGTGTGTGTAATCCTAGTGATACCTAATAGTCAAAGTCAAAGTCAAATTAGGACTAGAGTGTCTGGAACTTCTAAGTGACTTTTCATGACGAAGAACTACAAGAACAAGAATCATGCTATTTGGCCTTGACCTTGCTGAGATAAAAGGCTGTAAAGTATGAGCAGATCTGTAGCTTTGATGTCAAGAGTGTTTGAACATTTCTGCTGTGTTTATCTACCTTTTCCAAATATTGAATAGTTTCCAATCAAGTCAGTAACAATTTAAGACTTCAACAATAATGAAAAAATTTCATAAGCATTGTAGGGAAGGAGTTGTTTACAATGAAGCTGTAGTGTATAGCTGCCGTATTGGTTTAACCTGTTAAAGCAGTGAAATAGAAGAACTGGCAACAAGATTTTATAGAACCTGGACATATTTCATGGAATAACTCACCCCAAGACTGAATTTGAATTATTGAGGTATCAGAAATCACAGACATAGGCAGAGGTGAAGTCCTGAAGGGGATTATTTTGTGCAAATCCCCTAGAAGCTGTAGAATTTTAAGCATGACATGGCCAGAAAAATCAATGGCCAGTAAGGTGCTAAAAGGTGTGTATCTCATAATAGGTGGAGGGAGGGGGCAACTGCTCCTCCCACCCTTCCCTGGAGTCGAAGTTTTCAGTGTCATTCATTTAGTTATGTTCTGGATCATGATGAAATTTAAAATATATTGAGATGGTGTTTCTTTTTTTTACAGTATAGTTCCATTGATACCAGTCCGATCAGCAAGTATATCACACACCCATTCTGGGATAAGCTTGTTCAGGTAACATTGAATTGATTTACAGATGAAAGATATTTATTGTATATTTGTCAAAAAGATACCTTGGGAACTCTTAATAATCATTAGATGATGCTTATAAATATTGTTTTCTGCTGTAGCAAATAATATATACCGAGATAACCCTCAACATAATTCAGTATATACATTTATACAGTTTTAAGAGCTTGACATATCTTCTTGGGCCTGTTTGGGTGTATCAGGACAGACAGGTTTGTCTACTTTTCCATGTTACATTTCAGGGATAAAGCCCAACAGATATATGCAAAGGTTACTGCAGGCCTTGAACGTCTTTGCTAAAACTTGTCAAATCGCAACATGAAAATCACTAGGTCTGACGTCCCTATCTCATAAAGGACCAACACTGATCTAACCATTTGGAATATAGGAATAATTAAAGCGGCTCTGGTGACACAATTTGTAGGTAGTTTAATAGCATATGTACAGTATTCAAGAATCATAACTTTTAACACAATCAGTATGTAGCACATCAGTAAATATTACTTCTAGGATGGTCGATGCTTATCAGTTATTACAAACCAATGTTTATAAGAGGGCTAATTTGTGTAAGCAGTCTTGCCAACCCTCCCAATTCAGGAGGGATACTCCCGATTTTTGGCCCTTAAATAAAGCATTTCCATCCATTGAATTTGCTGAACTTGTCCTTTATTCAAAGATCGAATGATTTCATCAGAAAGAATAGCTTAAAACATGTCATACTAACGGGTATTTTGACCCTAGGGAGTATATATATATACACATTTTATTTATGTTCTCAATTTTGAGCACGCAGAATTAATCCCACCCCCAAGAAAATTTCAAAAGGTTGGCAAGTATTTCAGTAAGAAATAATATTGTATACATACCTCTTGAACAAATCCATGCTATGTTGATCTAATTGTTCCGGTCTGCTTGTCATTGGGTTTTGTCGTAATACGTTTTGCTGAATGTTTAAAGTCTTGTATAATTCTTCAAATTTTTATTTGCAGCTTTATCCAAGATGGCTAGCACCAAATGTGTTAACACTGGCTGGGTTCTCTCTTCTTGTTGTTTCCTTTATTGTGCTGACAATAATTGACCCCCACTTCAACGCGGCCAGTCCGGACCAGCCTGGGGTGCCTTACTGGGTGTGGCTATTGTGTAGCTTCAATGTATTTTGGTCTCACACATTAGGTGAGTATGAAATTCAAACACAGGTTTTAATTTAAACTTACCTTATTGCCATCAAGGGGGATCATTAATAATTTATTATAAACCTGTCAGTGTACAGGGCAAGTAGAAAGTTTTTGTATTACATTGTAGTTCCCTTTTCTTTTGATAACTTTCAACCTGTTGAGGGAAGTGATCCTCAAAACAGAAACTGGAACTAGGAACTGGACTGGAAATGTATGCGTAGTGTTACATAGGCTACATATGTTATATTTTAAAATGCCATGTCATAGATGGTAAAGATGTAATGTTGTAGATGGCATAGATGTCGTACGTTATAATGTCATGTTGTAGATGATACAGATTTTATGTTATAAATGTCATGTTATATATGCTACAGATGTTATATTGAAGACAGTACAAATGTCATATGTTATAAATGTCATGTTTTAGATGGTACAGATGTCATATGTTATAAATGTCATGCTGTAGATGGTACAGATGTTATATTGAAGACAGTACAAATGTCATATGTTATAAATGTCATGTTGTAGATGGTACAGATGTTATGTTATAGATGATACAAATGTTATGTTATAAATGTCATGTTGTAGATGGTACAGATGTTATATTGAAGACAGTACAAATGTCATATTTTATAAATGTCATGTTGGAGATGGTACAGATGTCATATGTTATAAATGTCAGGTTATAGATGATACAGTTGTTATGTTATAAATGCCATGTTATAGATGGTAAGGATGTTATGTTATAGATGAAACAGATGTTATGTTATAGATGATACAGATGTTATGTTATAAATGTTATGTTATAGATGGTAAAGATGTTATGTTATAGATGATACAGATGTTATGTTATAGATGATACAGGTGTTATGGTATAAATGTCATGTTGTAGATGGTACAGATGTTATGTTATAAATGTCATGTTATAGATGATACAGATGTTATGTTATAAATGTCATGTTATAGATGATACAGATGTTATGTTATAAATGTTATGTTGTAGATGGTACAGATGTTATGTTATAGATGATACAGATGTTATGTTATAAATGTCATGTTGTAGATGGTACAGATGTTATGTTATAGATGATACAGATGTTATGTTATAAATGTCATGTTGTAGATGGTACAGATGTTATGTTATAAATGTCATGTTGTAGATGGTACATATGTTATGGTATAAATGTCATGTTGTAGATGGTACAGATGTTATGTTATAAATGTCATGTTGTAGATGGTACAGATGGGAAGCAGGCCAGGAGGACAGGAAGTAGCTCCCCTCTTGGCGAGTTATTTGATCATGGACTGGACAGCTGGGCTACACTCTTCTTTCCCATCAATATGTACTCTATTTACGGGCGTGGCGAGTTTGGAGTGGAGGTATATAGGGTCTACTTCGTCATGATTGGTATCATGTTCTGTTTTATTCTGTCCCATTGGGAGAAGTACAACACTGGGATCCTGTTTCTACCGTGGGGCTACGATCTCAGCCAGATAGTAAGTGTCTCATCATCTAGCTGTTTACTCTAACATGTGTTGTGTTTCTTCTGGAGGTACTAATACTTTGTATCAGTACAATCTAGTAATCAGTATTCATTTTCAGTGGTAGATAGCAACATTAAATTCTGTTAGGCCATAATAACATAACGGAATTCAATTTAATTTTGATAATTTATTAATGTAGTGATAAAAAAAATAATGCATCAGGATATATAATGATATAAGATCATTTCTTTTTTCTCATATTGATTTCTTATTGAAGAAGGTACTGCACCACAAAAAATTTGAGTGTTTAAAACTGATTTTTTTTGGCATCTAGGTATAAATTTTCATCTGGATCACAGTTTGAGTGGGTTTTATTTCTCCAAATGAAAAACACAAAAAAACAAAGAGAAGAAATCGTTCAGAAATAGAGGGTAATGGTTTTCCCTTTTTGTTAATAATGCAAGATGCTAACATCATCAAGGTTACAAGAAAAATGTAGATGTGGTGACCTTTTTTAACTCATTCACCCCTACATATCTAAACTGGACTTGCCCAGTCATTGATTTGGTAAGATTCAAATGTGACTTTAGGGGTGAATGGGTAAGCCTCTGATCTGGTATTCAGCTGATTATTATTTCTTCAGAAGTGAAAAAAGAACACAATATTTTTTTTTACATTTTCAGAATGAAGTTTTTTTTCTTTTTCAGGGAATGGCACTTCTGTTCCTGGTAGCTTACTTTGGTGGGCATGAAATGTGGCGATTCAAACTACCATTCGCAGACTTGTATTGTGCAGAGGGCTTAGAAATAATAATGCACTGTAAGTATTTACACTGTCAAGTTCTTCATAGATAAGGATTGCATACTAAAGTCTTTGCCTGCTATACAACTTTATACAATGCTTATGTTTTAAAAAGAATTCATGCTATCACTACCAAGCTTATGATTAGTCAGAGAACAATAGGCAAAACAATACATGTATTACATGTACCTGCATGTCAACATTTTTGGCTATTCAATCTATTGTTTTAGATTGATGGACAGAGTCCATGCAGGTTTATGCTATGGTATCATGCTGTGGAAATATTTAAAGAAAATACAGACATGGTTGTTGCTGTCATTTGTTTATTAATACTGTAATACAAAAATCTGCATCTTTGCTCTTTAATTTGCATAGAAGATAAAAGTCAATGAAAACATTACCTGCCTTTTATCAATTATATTTTGCACACAACTGCAAGCATTAACATTTCAGATTAAGACTTGGCTAAAAAATTCAGTCAGCCAAAAGGGTATTTAAAACATTGTATTAATCTTGATTTTTTTCTTTCCAGTAGGAACTATTCTTTTAACAGTCCCGCCAACTCTGTGGAATATATATGTGTAAGTATTAATGGTGCATGACATTTGGAAAATTATGATAAATCAGTTTAATACATGTACATTAAGAATATTAACCCTATTTGATATATGCGGTATACCTCCCCAGGTATTTTTTTGATCAGAACAGTCCAGAATGAAGTATAGTTTTGTTTTTTTATCAGGTATAATGGTTTATGTGCTGAAGTATTCAAGGTGTATGGCACTTTTAATGAGCTGTTGTAAATACAAACCCATAACAAGAAGAACACCTATACAACTACAAGCACACACATGTGAAGCAAATATGATACCTACTTTCAAATTCTATACAGAATACTTTGCTATGACACCTACGTTTTATAGTTTGAATTTCTGTACAGAGCATTGATCATGTTAGTTGTTGCTGCTATGAGTCCATACTTTATGTGAGATATATGATACTTAAAATTCCTTCTGCTAGTTTTCTCAACCAGTATTACTGTTCAAGTGCAACTAAGTTCTCACAGATGAGCTTAAAACCCAGAAAGTAGATCAGAATGTGCCTATTTGCATAAATTTAGACAATTTTAATTTTATTATCCCAATAAGCATTTTTCCCCACTTTTGATTATCAATGTGGCACCCCAGGTATTATCAGAATAGATATGTTAATTATTGATTCTAACTATATTGTTCTTTATTCCCAGTGCTTCAAGAGACGGAACAGGGAAAAAACGGACCCTTTGGGAAGCCATGCGCCCCCTGGTGGGAACTTTAGTACTCTTCGGCCTCATGATCATATGGGCAAAGTACTCTAGTGTTGAAATTATTCAACAGCAGCCACGTCTGTTTTACTTCCTCACAGGAACCCTATTTTCCAATATAGCTGTAAGTCTTGTTTTCTGTCAATGAAATGTAAAACACATTTTTGGTCATGAACAATTATAGATCATGCAGGGTGTGATGTGATACTAAAAGATTTAGGTCATGATTGGATTTTGTAAATACACTTACTTTATTTTATGCCAACTATATACGATTGTAGTTTTAAAAACTCTTTCAGAAGAATTTGTCTTTCTGAAATGAAAAATAAGAGAACCTGACATATATCTTTGGTAGCAGAGTACAGTAGAAATGGCTTAACCCTAAAAATAAAGGGCATGTCTTGGATAAACATGGATAGCGGATTCATCCAGCACAACACACCTACATATATATATTTATAAGTTACATTTTGAATACGTTTTTTTTAGAAGAATGCTTTTTTTTTCAAAAAGTGATTTCCCCAGATTTGGGACTTGTGAAAACCATGGTTACCACATCAAAAAACGCCAAAAAGTGCAAAAAAAAACCAAACCCAAAATTTGACCCATGCAAGTAGTATTTTTTTTCTTAAAACCTTTCTTAAATTAAATATCACCTACTCGGTAACAGAAATACTCACGTTTTAGCATAGGTCATTCAACTGGATTTTCACAATATTTATGTGCCGAGTATAAAAATAGACTACATTAAAAGGTAGCTTTTGTTGTGTAGACACAGATTTGTCAATGGCCAAAAATGTAGTCTCAAGCCAAATTCGATTTTTTTTATTTTTTTTAATGTGAAGCCCACATAGTCCAATTTATCATGTATATGCCAATTTTAGCTGATTTTTTTTATTTTTTTTTAGTTTTGATACATGTAATATTACAGGGGGTATTCATTGTTCACACATATTACCCATGGCCACCGTACTCTACTGTACACTGCTACCTTATACATCTCTTTCTTTTTCCCAAAATTTAATCAAAATCTTTTAAATGTCTGGAAAATGACACGATGAACAAAAATATGTATCCGTTTCCTTTCTCACTTTAAAAGTGACCAAGTAATATGAATTCTCCTGACAGGTGAATTTTTACCAATTCTGCTCTCAAACTACCAACAAAGGGAGGTAATCTGAAAAATTAAAACTTTGATAGGTTTGTAGTTTTCATGAATAAATTTTATTTTTGTGTGAAATATGATGCTTTGAGATCATGTGCATGTGAAAAACAAAACAGTACAGTGATACTATGATGTTTCTGTCTTGTTTGATGATGTCATAGTAACTGTGATGTCATCATAACTATGACGTCATCAATGGGCATCTATGACATCATCAAGTATCACTGATATCAAAATGAGCACTAGGAAACCCATCACTACAACAAACTAGCAACAGACACACTTCCCGTAGTCAATGAACAGCAACAAAATGTCATATTCTGAAACATCAGACAAGTGCCACCATAGCAACCGTTATTTACTTTCCTCAACTAAAATTGACAGTGACCCTCAGAAATTGTTCATTTAACATATTTTGCTAGAAAAAAAGATTTTTTTGACATTACTGACTTTTCTAATTTAATCTGTATGCTGAATCAAGTGGGTAAAAACATCGAAAATAGTGTAACTAGAATGAAAACAGATATTTTACCCATTTTCAATAAATACAACTTTATGTATTAATAACCATGGATACCAGGTGCTAAACTGAGTGAAACAGACTGAAATCTAGTCTGAATGCATAAGGAGATAGCATGTGAACTATTTGATGTTTGGTATCAACTTTACCAATTACACAATTGATACATATGTGATGAATTGTGAAGTGCCTGTGAAAAGGGCGAATTACCCCCTTTTTACATCCACAGGTAATAGGCTATTGACCTATATATGTAACTTTTTTAAAGCTTTTTTTTTCAAAAAGGGATTTCCCCAGATTTGGGACTTGTGGAAACCATGTGAAAACCATGGTTTCCACATCAAAAAATGCCAAAAAGTGCCAAAAAAACATGACTAGTAGTAATTTTTTCTTAAAACCTGTCTTAAATTAAATATCACCTACTCGGTAACAGAAATACTCAAAAGTGTTTCTTAGAAAAGCTTTTAATGTTATACAGTTGTACACATTAATATTAATTCTTTTTTTATAGTTGAGAAACTTTCACTTTATTTGCAGAACACTCAAACATGAGAAAAGAAAAAATACACATCCACATACACACACGACAATGATCCTCAAATCCTCCACCTACCTGACACAAATCATCAATAACATACATATCCTTTAACACGTAAGAGGATAGCCAACCTTTTGAATTATGTAGTATGTAAGCGTAAGTAGTAGTTCCGCCTGTGTAAGAATGCATTTCCCTTTTCAGCGCCCACTGGTACCCTCACATCCTCATAAATACAAGACCCATATCAAAATTAATTTTATATGCATATCCAATCACACATAAGATGATGGGGCGCTCTTGTGAATTATTGAAAAAGTGCATCTATTTCTTGAAATGTTTTTAGTAGCTTAAAGTATATGAAAGTAAGTAACTGTTCTATGTTGATGAGATTGTATTTTTCCTTTTCAGTGTCGCCTCATCATTAGTCAGATGAGTGATACTCGCTGTGAGTTGCTGAACTGGATGTTATACCCCCTGGCTGCTCTAGTGGCGGTGGTCTTACTGACACAGCCAGGCTTTATAGAGGTTGCCATACTCTGGATCTTCACCATTTTCACCACCGTGGCTCACATCCATTTCGGTGTCAGTGTGGTATGTAATATTCTAAAAAAAAAGAACAAACCCATTCACCCCTAAAGTCACATTTGAACCTTAAATATAAATGAAAGACTGGGCAAGTCTAGGTTAAACATGTAGGGGTGAATGATTCAAGTTAAAAATTTGACTGAATATGGCATTAATGGTATCTGCTGTATTACATGTTTGTTTGTGACTTGTATCACAGTTAATTCCCTTGAAACCTTGTTATTACATGTATTTTTGTGATATGCCTCATCAGTTAATTAATATCTTTCACTCATTCCCCCCAGAAATTTCGTAATGAACTATTCCAACTTTTGAATTGGAAGAGTTCAAATGTGTCTTCAGGGGTGGATGAGTTAAATTTATACCGTTTATAGTTAAGATACTTCTTATTGCGGAACTCTCTTGAAGAAGAGGTGAATGTCAAAATAACTTAATGTATGGTTTTAACTCATTCACCTCTGAAATTTCATGTTCCAATCTTTGAATTGGAAGAGTTCATATGTGTCTTTAGGGGTAGATGAGTTAATTTACATAATGCTAATCAAGTTTTGTAAACTATTTTCATATATTGGTTAGTTAAAAGTAAAATTGCTGTAAAAGATCACATATGGTCCTAGATTTTCTTGTTGTAGGGTTTGGCAAAAAGTAAAATTTGAAATTTTAATGAATGTGCTGTTAAGTAATAATAGAGACGAAATTGAAATTTGTTTCCTGGACCTTAAACTTAGACAAAAATACAGTGATTTGACAAGTTAATGACTTCTTTGGATTAGCTTGATATATATATCATCTAGTAGACTTAGAAGCATATTGATCTTAAATAACTTTTTTTACTAATATCATTATATGATTATATCATAAGAATGTATTGCATTAAAATTTACAGAACATGTTTATTCTGGTACAATTTTTGTTCACATTAGTTTTCATTTCATGTCTTTGCAGGTTAAGGAGATGTGTGAGCACTTTAACATTTCTGCTTTTACTATTAAGAAGAAAGACTGAGAGGATGGTAGGACACACAGCTTGTGTTTTACTGGGGGCCACATTAAGGACGTACCCATTCTCTATAGCTCTACTCTCTCCTTGCAGATGACATGACCCTAATAACCTTTTATAATATAATTAAAGCAAAAACCTTCCAAAAGCATTATTACCAGGTACTAGCTTCATGTTAAACATTAAATGTTTGGTTAACACTTGTTATTTAAGGGAACTTTATATCCATACACGAGAACTCAATCACTGCTTCATTGAAGCCGCAATGTTTTGACCGCTGGGGCAAAACACACTTTATTGCTTGGAAATCTCATGTGATCTTACCATTCTTAAATTGTGTCTTGTCCTTGGATCATAATGGTGAAAAAGAACATTTTATTTATCTCAAAGAAATAAGAGAAAACAAAACCTGTTCCTCCCACAGTTTATTTCCTTTTCTTTATCAGCACTAGAATTTTTACAATATATTTTTTTAATAAAAACATCAAACTTTTAAAAATGGAATGGGTACTTCTTTAAGAAGTGAGATGAAGGAAGAAAGATTTAAAGAGAAAGGAAGACTGTGGGATTGAAGAGAGATGAGGTGGACTGAAGGATTTGAGAAGAGAGGAAGTAGGATTTGAGGAGAGATGAAGTCGGCAGTAGGATTTAAAGAAAGCTGTTGATTGTAGGATTGGAGAAGAGATGAATTTGACAGTAGGATTTGAAGAGAGATGTTTACTGCAGGATTAATTGGCGGAGAGATGAAGTTGACCGTAGGATTTGAAGGGAGATGTTGACTGTAGAATTAGAGGAGAGAGTTGACAAACAGTAAGAGAGATAAGTGAACAATAAGATTACAACTGTTTTGCTGTTCATTGAAGTGTATCTCACTTTGTTTTATCACATGACGCTTTTTGTTTCCACAAATGAGTACTCAGGGGTTTTGCCAGCTATTTTGGGAAAGGGCCCCTCAGAGCAGGAATTGGGAAAATATCATCAGCAGTTGGCAAAAAATGCGTTCCAACAGGTTTGGGAAAATGTCATAAGTTTGGAAAATATAAAACCTGCGATGTGATAAGCAAAAGGTTTTCGTTCAATTATTTAATTTGAAAGCCCATTCATGAACAGTAATACTTTGAACATTGCAAATACATGTATAATGACTGGAAACTTATATAAACATGCTTTTTAATCCGATTGTCAAAACTTGACAAAAGAAAGACTGAAATTGGGAAAACACAAGGACATTTTTCAATTGGGAATTGGTCCCTGTATCCGACCCTATAAACACCTGGCAAAAACCCTGGTACTTATTCCTTTTATGATTTTGATCTCAAATAGTATGATACCGGTATGTACTGTTTATGATCTCTTGTATACCATTAGCTTTAAATTATAAATCATCTTAAAGGGTATATTTTTATTTACTGTAAATGGGTATATTTGCATGCTTAAGCATTTTTCAAGATTTCAATGTGAAGTACATGTGTGAATATTGTTCTTTCATGCTTGATGTTAAATGTATATATGTAAGTGTAGGCTGTATAATTATGCCGTCACAATCGTTTATGTTGATTTGGTTAAGCTGTTGTTTGTACACTGTAAATCTGATCATTTAAATTTTACAATGGTATAAGTCTGTGATTTAATTCTTTCTGTTGAAAACTGCTGTTTTTATGTGCGAATGATTAGCTTTCACTAATATCTGATTTGTTTTATTACTCAAGACTAATTCTGATTTTAAAGTAAAATTATTGCTAGCTTTGCTTTCACAGACAACTGATTTCTGGTATTACTCGGGATAACTCCGATTTTAATGTACTTAACAGAAATTAACGATACCTCATTCAATCATTTTACTTGATGTTAAAGTATCCACGGAAACCTTTCCTGTAAAAATAAATGAAATCCATGAAATGTCTTGATCTGCTTGCTAGAGCAATGTGGCGGATATTTTTCACTTTCCAGACTATACCTCTAAGGAAACAGTGCAATGGACCAAAGCATTGTGTCAAAGTGGAAAACAGTGGGGTTGAGTGCAAACCATGTATGATCGATTGTCATTATATAGTGTAATACATTTAATACTGTGATGATTGTTGATTCAGTTTTATTAGTCAATAAACAGATAACAACAAAAACAAGTAAATGATACGGGCCCAATAGGCCTCTTGTCCAAGGTCTCATTTTTTCAAGTCATTTTCAATGGAGAGAAATAGAAGAAAAATGACACTTATCAGCATTATAATGATATTGTTGGTTTTGTGGCAGATATTTAATACATGTAAATAGTTTTATTTGCCTATTTTTTGTACGATTCTACAGTACAATTTAGTCACAATATTAAATGATATTTTTGATTTGTGTAATGCTCACTACATTTTAACATATTTTGTTCAGTAATAGGTCTCAAAAAGGACATTCACAATATATGTTCAGACTTCAATATTCCATCTTTGCGTATTGCAGAGTTATCTTCTCTTGTGAGCAGGTATTTATTGTTACGTCCTTGGTTTGTGTGAGAAAATTGCGTCGTTTTCTCAAAAATTGATGACGTTACTCTCAAAAACCAATGACTAACAATCAATACCTGCTCAAAAGAGAAGATAACTCTGCAATACACAAAGACGGAATAAGGCTCTGTGTAAGATTTATCACCTAATCTACTGCAAATATGCATTAAGGGTTCACTTTTCCTTTGTTTTCTGAGTAACTCTTCTATACATTTTCCTGGCTGTATTTTGTCAAACCCCTATGTAATGCCAAAATTTTGCCGCACAAATTGGCATCAGTATATTAAAGTTTTACAGTACTTAACTCATTCACCCCTAAAGACACATTTGAACTCCAATTCAATGGTTGGAAAAGTTCATTACGAAATTTCAGGGGTGAATTGGTTAATGCCTTTTATCCTATATTTGAAATGAAGGCAATGGCCTTGATAAACAGACTTTTTTCACTTATTAATTGTATCTGAAATGACATTGTCCAGTCAATTTATGTTCAGATGGTCAAACCTGAAACAAATTTCAACATATTTCATTTCTATTCTAAAACAACATGTTATAGCATTACATTCACTTACAAAATCTTGCAGCATTATTTGGGACTCATTTTAACTCTTCAAAAGCTATCTTGTATTCTGGAGAGCTTAATTAAGATGTCTTCTAATTTCAGACAGATTTTTTTGTACTGCTTTTTGATAAGTTTTGTCCGTATCTAGTCCCATGTATTTATTATTATAGTATTTCTGTTCATAGTTATATATAGTTCTTTGGGAATCATTGAATTTGAGAGAGAAAACATCTTTAATAATGATAGCAACATTTGATGTTTTAGTATTTTTTTCCTGAGAAAATTTGATATATACCTGAACTATGGTAAGACAGGGTCTGACAACATTTAAAAGCTATAAGACAATCTAGTTGTCAAACTTTAAATGTTTTGCCCACCTTGTTGATCCTGTTTGGGTGGGAAAATATGTGTAGTTAACATGGTAGTTAGTGATGCTTTATATTGGTGTATTCAGGGGGAAAATGTCCCGAGATATACAGTCAGACACAAACGACTTGTCGCGTTGACCTTTCCTCGGAATATTCATGCTGGACGGTTACATTCCTTGTATAGGTATACCCACCTGTACATTGATGTCGAGGTGTATGGAGTTCTGTAGTGAGACCGTATATCAGGTTAAAAAATACTCATAAACACATTCCCTGTTTATTAACCTCTTACATATGAAGTATACCTGTAACATAGATATACCTATCCTATACTCCTCGTCTGTAGTCAATATGGTAATTAAAGGTCAATACCACAGGTCATTGTGGTCAGACTATAACATTATGTTGTATACAGTACTGCAAGTCCTTGACCAATGAAACTATCAGAACATAAGGTTAGCACAATGCATGTTATCCCAATTTTGTTTTGGTCAATTTCTTGAATTGGTTAAATGGATATATAAATGACTACAAGACTGTGCTAGGGACCATTTAAGAATTTCATGGTAACCATATCCCAAGGTCGCAATAAGAGGTCAAAGATATTTTTTGTTGTCCAAGTTCTGATTACATGTTAACATACTATGTATGTGAATGGATGGCACATAATGTAACAATTTGTACTGTATGCTGGGAATTTTTTGCTGCAGTTCAATTTTGACCTTTTTCACCCTCAATATTAAGGTCAAATATATCATTAAAGCAAATATAAGTTAAGATCATAATGAACATAATAATTGCAAAATTAAAACTAGACGAAAATGGATTTTGTAAAGGGCGAAAGATTGAATGAGCGAAAATTTCCTGGTACAATGTATTCCAAGATCAAAAGGTCAGAATTTGATGTCCAAAGATATCCATATGATCCAATTTGTGACCAAACAATTAAATGTGATCACTTGAAGATCATTTGATGAAACTTTTTACACCTGTGAGCACTAGACAAGTGAGTCTTGTAAATGTCTGATGACCTTCATTCCATGGCCAAGGTCACAACCTTATTCTCTTAATGTCCTGCTTTTAAAGGGTAATAACGAACTACATACCCATATCTGGTGTTATTATATAATACATGTACTGGTATTGATGATACTATTAACTATCTATATGTACTTGATTCAGTATTAAGAATTGTGTTGTTGAGTACAATAAACTGTGTATGATTATTGTATTTAATTTCAGGTAGTGGTATTTTTTGTGAGATATATAAACCTTATAACTTGCTTTATGTCCCTAGCTTCATGAATTACTTGTCATTTGTTTCTATAAGCCTACAAAGTTTCAGATACTCAAAATAGTTTGTATGATTTAAACTGTCTTTATTATTATACATAGGGTGATTAGTATACATGTATATCAGATGACACATATTTCCTAAAGCCCCATTGGTTGGATCAGAATCATGTGGAGGTCGGTGATTTATGGTATTGACTGCATGTTACTGTTTTTAGAAATTGCAGGTCAATATTCATTTTATGACATCAGTACAAATGTAATGTCACAATGCTCCCAACCAAGTGCAGTATTTACTTCATACAATTTTTGTACATTTTATTCTGTTGAATGATTAAAACACTATTAAGCATCTAATGTAACAATTAAGGACTTCTATTTCACTGAATATGTGGTTATATGGACCTGAGAAAGTGATATTGACCGAGACTTCCACATATTCACCTCAACATGTCGACAGGTGGATTAGCATTGTATATTGTTTGCAGTTGGATTGGTATACATATTTGGATAAATTAGAATACGATATACAATTATGGTCTTTTGTGACGGTGAATATGATGTGTTATGAACCAAAAAATGTAATATTGACCGAGGTGAAGCTGAGGTTAATATGACTTACATCATATTCATCCTCACATAAATCTTATCACTGGTTTTAAATCATATACGGAAATAAAGGAACCCCTGCTTTGACCTAATACAGATATTATTTTGTTAGTTGATCACCAAACATCCATATACATGTACAATTAGCCCTTCAAATATTGTTTATCAAACAAATGTTTATTTAGGATAAATAGGGTAGGGGGATTCCCCTAAAGTCTATATTTAGAAATATTCACTGGAAAATCGGTCAACATCAGATTTTGAGAACTGGTCTCGTGTATAGGATCCAGCCTATGAGATTGAAAGATTTTATTAAGTATATGATAAATATATAGACTATAAAGTATCAGTATCAGTATATATACTACAATGAATCAGTGTAAAATATTTATAATGTAAAGATGGATTAATATTTATATGTAAACTACTGGTAGATTTGTATACATATATATACTACATGTACAATGGATCAGTGTAATAATATTTATACTCTCAAAAAAGATTAGTATATGTTGACAACTGTTAGATCAATATACAGATGTATGTTCATGTACAGATTAATTTGCACCGTAAAAATAAATTATGTGTGTTGATTGGTCTACATGTAGACAATCTAAGAGGCTTAATATATATTTGAGTAATGTTTGTAAAATATTGATTAAATGTGGTATAATAATTCAGTCTTGTATGTAGTACACAAACTATCATTGGACCTCAGATGAATTGGGAAATTTGTGTTATATTTTCTTTATAAAACTGTGATGTGTTTATCTTAGTTTATAAGCTAAATATGACTTTAAGTGTAAATTTGTGTAACCAACCGTAAAAATTCAGTGTAAATGTTCGTAAATTAACTGTGTAACTTTAGCCTACATGTACATGCATGTAAACCAACTTTGTGGCTATATTTATGTTTGTAAACCAACTGTGTGGCTATGTTTGTAAACCAACTGTGTGGCTATGTGTATGTTTGTAAACCAACTGTGTGGCTATATTTATGTTTGTAAACCAACTGTGTGACTATATTTATGTTTGTAAACCAACTGTGTGACTATGTTTCTAAACCAACTGTGTGGCTATGTTTCAGTTTGTAAACCAACTGTGTGACTATGTTTCTAAACCAACTGTGTGACTATGTTTCTAAACCAACTGTGTGGCTGTATGTAGGTTTGTAAACCAACTGTGTGGCTATATTTATGTTTGTCAGCCAACTGTGTGGCTATGTTTCTTAACCAAATGTGTGGCTATGTTTGTAACCCAACTGTGTGGCTATGTTTCAGTTTGTAAACCAACTGTGTGACTATGTTTCAAAACCAACTGTGTGACTATGTTTCAAAACCAACTGTGTGACTATATTTATGTTTGTAAACCAATTATGTGGCTATATTTATGTTTGTTAACCAACTGTGTGGCTATATTTCTAACCCACCTGTGTGACTATGTTTCTAAGCCAACTGTGTGGCTATATTTATGTTTGTAAACCAATTATGTGGCTATATTTATGTTTGTAAAACAACTGTGTGACTATGTTTCAAAACCAACTGTGTGACTATATTTATGTTTGTAAACCAATTATGTGACTATATTTATGTTTGTAAACCAATTATGTGGCTATATTTATGTTTTTAAACCAACTGTGTGGCTATATTTATGTTTGTAAAACAACTGTGTGACTATGTTTCAAAACCAACTGTGTGACTATATTTATGTTTGTAAAACAACTGTGTGACTATGTTTCTAAGCCAACTGTGTGGCTATATTTATGTTTGTAAAACAACTGTGTGACTATGTTTCTAAGCCAACTGTGTGGCTATATTTATGTTTGTAAAACAACTGTGTGACTATGTTTCTAAGCCAACTGTGTGGCTATATTTAGGTTTGTAAACCAACAGTGTGGCTATGTGTATGTTGGCACACCAACTGTGTGGCTATGTGTATGTTGGTAAACCAACTGTGTGGCATTAGTGAACATATGTTAACCAGCAGTGTGACTTAATGTACATGTGTGTGTTAACCAACTCTATGTGTGCTCTATGTGTTTAATGTACATATATATATATATAGTACATAATTATGTGAATACATTGTGAATCAATTTTGTGAATTGTGTTGTTCCAAAGTTACTTGCTATATTTTTCTTTTCACAAATGGGATATACATAAGATTATGTTCTACATGTATTTCTAAATAAATTAGAAATAAACATTCCTTAAACTTATTTATGACTTTCGTTATTTTTCGCTTACTGTATCATTGTGGGGTTTTCCATAATCTATATGTAAACAATTCTTATTCTCACTATTTCTCAGAAAGGGCTGGACAACTGACTGACCTGAATGTTGTATAACTTGCGACGGGTTTCCAGTTTGTCTGAGGATCAAATCTGCTATACATCCAGATTAGAGTAAACTCTACCCTAAACGGGACATTGAGAGCGCTGGCTGCATTACAAGTTTCCTTTCTCGTCCATTTCTTTTGTGAGATGGTGGTCAGATTTGAATACTCTGCAACGCTTCTCGACTCTCCTGTTTGAAAGGTAAACTGGTTCTCTTTAATCAGCGACCCAATTTTCCACTGGGGTTACGAAATGGAAGGTGATCAAGCAAAACAGTTCTGCTTTTGCCAGTGGTCTCGGAAGATTTTTGGTATTCTGCTGTTGTGGGATCACCCCGTGTCTGTAAAGCTGATTCTCTTTCCGGGAGATCCATAAAAGGCTCTTGCGACGCAGGAGAATGAAGGGATAAAACACTTAAACGATTTTGTAAAGGAGGTTCCGAGATCGTCGTGCATCCCTAACGCCATCGTCGGATACCCACGGTTGATTTCGCTTCGGTACTCACTCATCGGGTGATGAGTGAGTACCGAAGCGAAATCAACCGTTGGTATCCCTCGATGTCTTAGCGTCTAGTTGGGATGTTTCTAGATTGGAGGTAGTCTGATATTTGTCGTCCGGACACCCGAAACATTTACACCCACCCGTTACAGATGGTCGTGATTTTCCTGCATTCTCCAAGCACATAATGTTAAGATCTTTTCCATTTCCCTTGTGATTCACCTTACGGTGTAGGATACCTAATCGGTCATAACACTTTTGCTTATGGTGGGGCAGAGACGTATATATTACATATAACTATATGTTATATATAATATATACGTCTCTGGGTGGGGTTTACATTTTCCAGAGAGAATGTCTCCTCATCCCAAGACACTGTTTGTTGGGCACTATTATCATAACACTGGAGAAGTTTGTGAAGACAGGGAGCTTGCTCTATCCTTCACTGGCCTTTCCCAGGTGATAGCCCGTTTGCTTTGTTTTCTGGGGTATCTCAACTCGAGGCAGATGACGTACCCTTAGGAAGACTTCACATTAGAAAAATCCAGAAATTTCTTCTCGCCAACGGGGGAATCATGTTTGCGGGATAAAGCTATTTGACATTGTCTTCACTCACTATGACCCTTTACATGGATGCTGCCATGGCAGGATGGGAAGCTCACCTCGACGGACATGTCTTTGTGGGACACTGTTTTGGGGTCCGGACTCGGAGGGTAGCTTTCACAGCATACCAATGTGCGCATGCTTAGAGGTCTGGAGGTCTCGCTCAAACTGTCTTTTACGGGGACATGTGGGATCTTATCTCTCGATCAGAGAGAACATCTTCGTCTGCCGAATTTCCATTTGTATTATATGCAATTTTTTTTTTTTTTTTTTTTTTTTTTGCTGACTACAAGAATCTTTTAAAAATCTTTAGTTCCTCTGAATGACGCACAAGCAAAGTGACACATGTGCAATGCGAAATTTTGGGGGTTACGCTCACTTACGTTTTCTACACACCTGGAATGTGTCATTACAATATTGAAGGCACAAGACTAGATATTTGTTTGTTTTCGGACGTAAATAAACTGGCCAATCGCTAGTCTGCTACCTGTCCTTTAAAGATCACAGAGGAGCGACACCCGATGTCAAAGAAGGTCGGTCAATGTACCACCGTTATACTTCCATGCGATCCTTTTAATATACATCAAAGGATCAATCTATTCGTTTATTCATCTATTTGTTTCTTCCGCTATGTGGCACATACTGGGTATTCAATGTTGTCATGACATATTCCAGGGGTGCAGCGATCGGAGGGAAGCCTTGACTATCGAGGATATGCAATTGGTGACTTTACTAAGAGAGACTCGCATCGACGCTTATTTTTACGACTTATATAGATCAGTGCTCAGACTTCCTCCTTGCTGAACACCCTGTGTAATTGGAAAACTATGTGGTTGCTGTTCCACTCACTTTTCAATGATGCTAGTATGAACTCTTCCCCGAATTCCAAAGTTTTCCAGATAATCTGTTATCATTTACTCCATCAGTACTTTCAGCCGCCGTTTTTCTCGGGCATGACGAATAGCCTCCGAAAGGTTGTATATACTTTTATGATTATAGATACATATCTAAGTCACAAAAAGAATCGACCTAGACGGAAACATCATGACTACACGATGTGTTGAATAGCACTACAGGTCGGATATTTTTCCAAGCAATAAGTTGATCTAATGGATGCAGTATTCCGTACGTGGTAAGGAATATGTTTTTTACAATAGTGTATAACGTTATACATTTGTCCGTATGAAGTTTCGTCAAAACGCCGATAAATTCTTCCATAAGATATTGTCTGGAAAAATAATTTCAATGATTTGACATCTGACCCCATGTGGAGATCTTGATCTTGAGGGTACAATACTCTTAGCGTTTAGGCAACCCATCGTTCCATTATAAGTACAGTGTTCTGAAGTAAGGACCCAGCCAACGGACAAAATACAATCAAAGAGTCATCTGGTTTCATCGATAAGGAGGTAGTTGGCTAATAAAATGTAAGACTAACTTCTTTTTAATTCATATAGTGTTTTATTACCAAATATGTAAAAGATAACCATTTTGCATCTGTCGATAATATATCATTCATCACCTTTCGAACATTTACACTCTCAACAACACATTGAACACCATTCACGCTCCTCAATGAACATCTTCCAAACCCCAACCACGCTCCACGTTAAAACCGACGATGGTTTCATCAACAGTATGTCAATATTTTGCACTAGATAATGTATAAAGTAAACAGTGTGGTAAAATTGTAAATCACAGACTTGATATAGAGAGATAAAATTGATGCAATTGTCGAAGTCGTATAAACATCAGGATAAATAAATATGTGTAAATGTTGGAGACCATATATATGTTTGAAGGTATCATAGATTTTGTAACAATTCCAAAGCACTTTGACGCGATTTTCCCAACGTCTACATAAAAGTCTGTATTTTGAGTAGTGGCTGGATCTATCCGCACATAGGGGCGACAACTCTTCCGTGTTTGATGAGAGGGGGTAGGCCTTTTTTGTTGACTGGGAATGGGCTTGGCAGCAGCTGTTCCCGGGGTCCCGGGGATGGGTATCTGATGGGGCGGCTGTTCTTCATCACCGGAATCACACTATCGGCTACGTAGTTTTCTCTGCAAAAAAAATCAAACAAACAATTACAGACGGGCCTCGTACATAATCTACCTTTCTAAGGATATATGTAACATCAAGTTGTGTTTAATATCAGCTGAAATGTGTAATTATTCGGAAATGTATATTACATAATTTTCTACGCCCGCATTCATGAAACCGTTCTCTTGCTCAAGCATGTATTCTGTGCTCAAATCAGCTTTGTTGTGACTCGCTTAAATCATGTCAAACGATCAAAAAGTGAAATGTAATTTGCAAACATTGAAAAAAGTATTGGGCTTTAGGTCACTTCAAACTGTCAAAATCAATGACAAAATAAGATTAGCTTATTCATTTATAACCAGAACAAAAAAACAACGCTCGAGCACAAAATCCATGTTTGAGCATGAGAACGGTTTCATGAATATGGGCCCAGATATTGCGGGTTTAACGTTTGTTGAAAGACAACACAAATTACTATTACATAGTAAGATAACCTATTCAATGACACCATCAACTTTTCGATATTTGAAACTGTTATTTTCCATTGATTGTTTGGAACCACACTTTAATACATGTATTTAAGCAGCCAAAGATTATCAAGGAGTTACATATGTATAAGGAGGTAATATACAATTGACACATACCTGCAACCGTACATCTGTGTCAGCATACTGCTGGACTCTGTATCTGAAATAAAAGTTTATCTTTACTTGAATGTGCAATACAGAATTCCAGATCAAGAAAGCGAAAGTCACACAATAAAACGGACTAAAAACAATCTGTCGCTCAACAATTTCCCATCTACACCAGTCGCAGCAGTATGTCCAAATTAAGAAACCCCTCAGCATATATAATATATGTGGTCTGCTGACATGATTATATTTCCGGCTCATCCAAAATTGTCCAAAATATCAAAATAGTGTTCATGTATATACTAACCGTCTGGGAACAAGACGACTTCCAATTTTAATGAGTCAAACAGCCACACCTTATTAAACCAACCACGGCGGCAGAAAATACGGGAAAATGGATATTTGTCACAGGAACGGTACACATTATCTATTATTCATTCATTAACAAGGTCGCTGGTCCCTTTGTATATCTAGACAACATGTCTTACCCCTGTGTAAATCTAGGGGTATACCAACGTATCTCTGGCCCTGTGTATATGTATAGGCATCAAACATTGTCTCTTGTCCCTGTGTATTTAGAGTATATATGGGGCAAAGAAGTAATTCCAACAGTGTGGACAAGTTTAGGTTGTCAAATTTTCTGAGCGATCTGCTCTTTTTCAAGACACAGTGAAACAGAACAGTTACATGTACATATACATCATATTACAAGAAGATAGAATTGATATACTATAATTGAAACTATAGTTTTTATATCCCTGTGTATTTAGGGTATATATATATATGCTTTGTCCCTGTGTATTTAGGGTATATATATATGTATGCTTTGTCCCTTTGTATTTAGGGTATATATTTATATGCTTTGTCCCTGTGTATTTAGGGTATATATTTATATGCTTTGTCCCTGTGTATTTAGGGTATATATATATATGCTTTGTCCCTGTGTATTTAGGGTATATATATATGCTTTGTCCCTGTGTATTTAGGATATATATATATGCTTTGTCCCTGTGTATTTAGGGTATATATATATGCTTTGTCCCTGTGTATTTAGGATATATATATATGCTTTGTCCCTGTGTATTTAGGGTATATATATATGCTTTGTCCCTGTGTATTTAGAGTATATATATATGCCTTGTCCCTGTGTGTATGTAGAACTACTACAAATATGACTACATATTCTTTAAGAGTATAACAAAACTTACTGTCATGGAAGACAGATATGTGCTTGGCTTTGACCGGACGTGGACCTTTCCGGGGAGTTTTGGGTACAGCAGTATTTTTTCTAGGGTCCACCAAAGGGGCCAGTTTGTTCTTGTTGACAGGAAAAGGACTTGGTGTCAACTGTTCTCTGGGTCCAGGAGCTGGGTATCTTATAGGGCTGAAAGAAGAACCGAATTGGCACGATGAATGTCTTTGACTTAACAACCGGAGTAAAAGTTAAAGATGAATTTCGCAGTCATTATAGAACTTTCAAAGAATGGATGAGCAGTTGAAAGATTTCACTTTTCCAGAAAAGTTCAGAAGACTCTAGGTATTCTCTCAATTACAACTTTAATCAAAGTGACTGTCTGTCTACAGTTACAAAATAAACTTGAATACGCATGTCAATACTTTTTTCAGCATTAAACTGAACCAGACTATCATTTTAATTATAGTAAACTAAAGATCCCCGTTTAGATGATAACGACATACTTAGGGTTGTTGACCGGTTCAGGCAGAGCAGTTCTAGTCGGCTGGTCAGTGGCAGTGGTCTTTACACCTAAAATCGGTTAAAAACGGCAAAAAATAAAATAAAACAAAAACAAGATATATATCACCAATGACCATACAATCGGTGGTTTTGTCCTACACGAGAATCAAATTCGATCCTATTTCTCTATCATTTTTTTTTTTAAATGAAAAGTTACAGTTGTGCAATTCTTTCAGAGGAAGACCACTACTTACTTTCTTTGTAAACGGGCATATGTTTAGCCTTGACCGGACGAGGCCCTTTCCGGGGTGGTTTGGATACAACATTCTTTCTGGGGTCCACAACAGGGGCCAGTTTGTTCTTGTTAACGGGAAAAGGACTTGGTGCCAACTGTTCTCTGGGTCCAGGAGCTGGGTATCTTATAGGACTGTGGATAGAACAGTCATTTGTAACTTTAATGTAGAAATGTCTTATAGGCACATAGCAATCGAAAATATTTAAACGATAAAAAATGTTTTTTAAGAATTTCACAAAAGATTTAAATTTCCATAGCAACAATGTACTTATTTTTTAAAACAGAAAGAAACGTGGAACCACATAATTGCTAACGACTTTATCATTATAAAGCACCTTTTTCGTTTGAACTTTTGTAGTTAATGTAATGTCTATATTGTAGATATTACTATAATTTGATAAAGGAATTCTGTCTTAATAACAATTACATACTTGGCATTGACTGCTTCATTGAGAGATGTGTTTTTTCGTTGACCTTCGAAAGTGGTTTTCACAACTGAAAAAGATAAATAAGAAACCTATACTAGTCTAGCAAGTAAAACGTTCAATATCACTCAATAGTAACGGAAGCACAACCTAGGAAACGCGACAGATATATGAGGTTTAAGCGCATCTGCAATTACTCAGGACTTAGTGAGTTATGCGAATATTAAGAGGCTATTGTATGATCATTGTACATCCAGACCCTGACCCCGTAAACCCGAGATCCCTTTACAACCCGAGAGCATCCGTCCTCTGGTCCTTTATGCTTACAGTATACGACTTCCTCGGGTTATTGTGGGGAAGACTAGTCTATGAATATGGCTGTATTAAAACATATCATATATAGGCCTAATGTGCCAATATCTTTACGTAGCGACACATCAGAATTATAACTATCACTGGAAGTAGAACAGATATTGACATATGGCACGTGCCGAGCTGATATCAATTATGCCATATCAAAGATATGTATATGAAAATGATCACAAACGTGAACTTACCATTGTCATGTTCATAAATAGTATCTTCCTCCTTGTTGTAGGATGTGTTTCCTGTTCTTGGTGTTGGACAATACCAGGGAAAAGCTGGATCTCTAGCTGCGAGTAAATCACTGGAAACACTTCCATTATCATGTTCTGTCCTGGGTATCTGTGTCGCAGATTCTTCTGTAGATTCATATTTTGCCTCGTATGTATTCAATTTCTGAGCACAGATTCTGTGACGCCTGTGCAATTTTCTTGCTTCGGGTTTTGGCTCCTTAGGGGGAGTTGGAGCAATATCAAAAGTGCTGATGTCAGCGAAGTCGATCTTAGTTTTAGTACCTGTTTAGATTAATACAAATAGGTTCTTGTTTTTGCTATAAAATGTATTGCGGTGATATATTAATCATAGCTATTATGACTTAAAATGTCAGATTTGTTTGATACACAGGGGTACGGTTCAAATTATCAATTTATATCTGAGGTCTCCTTGTTTACTATACATAATAGTAAACATGGAGACCTCAGATATAAATGGATAAATTGGACCGTACCCCTGTGTTCCATATGAATGAAAAAAACCGTGTAACAGGCCTTGCAAGATATCATTTCTTCTTCTTTATAGTTTCACCAGACCTTCTTGGCATAACATTAGAAGATTACCTGGAGAGCTAAATCGTTTTACAAAGAAATGCTAACATATTTATATTAATCTGTTTGTCAATACTCTACAGTGTACTTACTTTTTATTCTGTGAAGGTACAGAGCCTTCTTTGAGCTTAACGTATCCATTTTTCGATAAAATCTTGCTGAGAAAATATACCGCCAGTTGCTACAAATGTCGTCGTTTCGTAACTACCGCCGGCAAAACTCACGTGAGCGAACAATGGGCAATGGACATTTTTGATTGGTTTACCAATCACGTGATCATAGGATTTGTTTGATTGGTTGTAAGAGTGACTATTCCAAAATGACGAACGGAACAAGATCCGGATAATATTAGAGGAGATAGTAATACAACACACACACAAATAACCTCCAGTTTTTTAAATATAGGGGGAAAAGTGTGATATATTTCATTGATTGAGTGATGAAAGGTTTTACGTCCGCTTCACTACCGAGTAGTTCGGTTATCCAGCAGACCTTCATATTTCATACTTCCGTAAGCTTTGTAGTGAATTTTGGAGAGTTAACTCCCTTAGACTGCTGACCGCACAGACAACATCGATGTGACGTCTCGGTGCGGTCTCTATGTTACATCCTGACTTCGTCAAGTAAGCGTTGTAAAAAAATGAATGTTATCTCGGTGCTTTGATGACATTTTGATTCATTCATACAGCAATACTTTCTTACTGATATTGGGACCTAAGAGCTGTTCCTAACTCCATGTAGCGGACGGTGTGGTACAGCTTCGGAATTTTTGGAGGACATATGTATGTAGTCAAAAAAAGCCAACGTGTATGTGAATTAACAGAAAGATTTCAGCATTAATTTAAATACATACATATACACAAAATATTGTGTATGGACAAGTTCGTGCATTCAGCAGTGCATGGCAAATCAATGGCTATTGAGGACTAGAATCTAGTTGTTCTCTTTCCTACAATGACAGATGAAGAAAATGCATTAATTTTCTCGTGTAATCAAAATTTCATTATCAGCTCTCGAAGATTTGAATGAATTTTTCTTTTATTTCAATATATACCTGTCGTTTTTAGTGGCATTCTCCATGTACTTAGCTATTTACCATCGTTTAACACAGTGTTTATCTGAGCAACTATCTTCCCTTCTATTTTCTATCTTGCCCTCCCCTGCTTTCTGTTTTTTACTCATTGCTGAATATTTTTCTCTCTCAAATATTATAGTCATAAATCATGTGCTCGTCAATTCTCATACATATTTCTTCAACTGGAAATGGATTTATATAAGTTGTAAAACTTGTTTTTATTCAAAATTACAATAACCGAATACTACGAATGTATCAAGAAGCGTCATTTATAATTATTTTCTTTGCGACAAATTCAAGTTTATATATGACTTTCTTACAGGATGCCATTCATTTAAAAACGTCAAGATTAGCAGGCAGCAGGAATAGATAAGAGATTTACTATTTTCCTCTTGGATAAATCTTTGACAAAAACTAGTCTTGCCGGAAATATTAGGTCCGGATAAACCTTCAAATAATATCGTCTTGGATAATCCTTGGAGAAATACTCGTCTCGGTAAAAACTTGGAAAAATACTTTCGAGAATTACACCTCCCATTGGATTCAAACTAACTTTTTCATTTAGAATATCATCAGTCCTCTTTCAATACTTTTGGGGAGTTTCTCTACAGTGTGGTCCCTACAGGTAGGGTGTAAGAATTGTACCTGCTGCCCCCATTGCATTATCGTAAGAGGCGACTAGATTCTAAACAACTTTCTTCTCCCTAATGTCTCCCTTGACAATGCCTCACTTTTGGCCTTTAGTTGAGCGTTCGCCCCTGTGAGGAAGGCTTTGGGTTCTGTCCTCTGGCCGAAACATACCAGAGTCTGTAAAAATGGTAGTTTCTACTCCTGCTTAACGCTCAGCAATTTAGGAGTGGGATGACTGGTGAGCCCGTTGTCAGTATAATGTGACCGGGTGGGGTGTCCTACTGGGTGTCTTCGGCNGGGGGGCGTCCTTAAATGACCATAGCAGTTGATAGGACGTTAAACAATACTAAACCATTCTCTAAAGTGACTAGAATTGTCACTTCACTACCAAATTCTGGGTATGATAACTCTGACATATATCGTTATATTTCTGTTCCTCGATATTACGTCAACAACACCACACGTGTGATATATGACAGATACATCTATTTGGTCAGTAAGTTATTAGGCGTATACAGTTTGCTATACCAGAGCTACTTCAATCTACACTCTAGAATATTTAAAATTGTCAATACAGAGTAGTTTTAGAATAAGATCGCTCTTTTTGTGAAGAAATTAAAATCGATAAAATATCATTCATTCCATGCATCTGAGTTTTACATTTAACCATTCAAATCAATTGCATACACTTTAATTCAATGTCAAAGAATTTTATTTCTATGAATGAGTAAAACATCGTATCCAGCCTCGCGCGCTCGAATTTCTCTACGTCTCTTTTATTTGGAGTATCTCTAGAAAAAAAGGGAATCTCAGGGAAACAAAGAATTGTCTTTCCCTACCATCAGGACAATAAGGATAACAAACAAATGCATTAAGAACTGTGTTTAACCGAATATTCAAACGTGTTTGGCGAAATGATAGAACAGCTTGCGCGATACCAATACAGCAATAAGTGATTGTTGTCGACTGGCTTGGCTCCTCATGTTGTACGAGATGAAGACGGCAACACTTGGAGGCATCAGCAGACTATCGTCAAAAACCTGGCTTCCCAATGCTTTTGTGTAGGCTTTGTAACAAACCACTATTGTTACACTAGTGAGTGTAACACTAATGGGTGAATAATGGTTGTTACACTAGTGAGTGTAACACTAATGGGTGAATAATGAATGTTGCACGGCTTTTACAGCAGGGAAACAAAAGCTGCCACTGACTTCATGTGCCACGAGTATTGACGACAGAGGCTTTTTAGTAGCATCCAAATCCCAACGGTGATGAACAGCAGACAAGGGGGAAAGAAGGGAACTTGCTATATAGGAAAATGATGGATCTAGGAGGAAAAGAAAGACAAAGGCTAGCATAGATGGGCTATCGGCGTCCACGGGTGAACTTGATAGAATGTAGAGGAGGAACTGTCATGGGGAATATACAGATTATGGTGATATTCACCATACCAGTTGAAATTGTTTGAGATATGTCATCAAATCTTACCTTCGCCTGGTAATCTTTACAGATTGTGAATAATCCAAAGCTAGCAAGCGCTATGCGTAGAAAACGAGTGACTTCGGGCCTCGTGTTGAGCATTTTCCCATGGCCACTCACATGGAGAGGCATGAGGTGTTTGGAAAGCTAGAAGAGCCCATAAAATAATAATCAGTATTGCTACATATAGACAAAAAATGCCTCCTTGAGTAACACCACGGATACCTTACGAAATAACTTCTACGTGGAAGTTCCTCGTCTGCCCTTAGTGTTCCAACAAGTCATCATATGTTGCTTTTAGGCACGTCTCTCTTCTAATGGCACTGTCAGTTCAGCCATCACAAACTTCTCCTTCCATTTCTTCTGGGCGGAGGGCAGTTTATAATATTTCAGGAAAAGTCAGTCTTCCGTATAGGTTCAATCAAGGAAAGTCAGTCTCCCTTACAGTATTGGGATAAAACGTACCCAGCGACTAAAAGATAAATATTATTGGTAGTTGCGAGCCCCTGTGGTTCAAGCAGAGATAATCAAAATAAAGGTTCAATCAGGGAAGTTCAGTCTCCTGTATAGTTTCAATAAAGGTTCAATCAAGGAAGGTCAGTCTCCCGTAAAGGTTCAATTCAGGAAGGTAAGTCTCCCGTAAAGGTTCAATCAAGGAAGGTCAGTCTCCTGTAAAGATTCAATCAAGGAAGGTTAGTCTCCTGTAAAGATTCAATCAAGGAAGGTCAGTCTCCCGTAAAGTCTCCCGTAATGGTTCAATCAAGGAAGGTCAGTCTCCTGTAAAGTTTCAATCAAGGAAGGTCAGTCTCCTGTAAAGATTCAATCAAGGAAGGTCAGTCTCCCGTAATGGTTCAATCAAGGAAGATCAGTCTCCTGTAAAGATTCAATCAAGGAAGGTCAGCCTCCTGTAAAGATTCAATCAAGGAAGGTCAGTCTCCCGTAAAGGTTCAATCAAGGAAAGTCGGTCTCCCGTAAAGGGTCAATCAAGGAATATCAGTCTCCTGTAAAGATTCAATCAAGGAAGGTCAGTCTCCCGTAAAGGTTCAATCAAAGAAAGTCGGTCTCCCGAACAGGTCCCCTTCCATCACCTAAGCCATCTGCCATCTCCAGACTGCCAGTCGTCATGCGGGTGTCACAAATAGTTGTTATTTCCCCTTCGTTCATGAAGCTGGATAGTGGGCATCGGCTCTTGGTACCCTTCTCTACTTCCGTTAGCTCTGTCCCTTGTGTGCAGATCTAACTTTACCATTCATATGTGAACATTCTTTTTTGCGAAAATTTGCAGGAATCAAGCACTGATCATTTGTTACAGCTATATTTGGACCTTTTTAGCATTTTACCGAAAATTGATCTAAACTCCCGCAAACGTGCAAAATTACCCTAAACACCTAGTTTAGGTCCAAATATAGCTGTAACAAATTCTCGGGTTTCCGTGATCATGACATCCTCAATTACTGGTGGGTTTAATAATAAATTGTAAACACAATATTAGCGCTCTCATGCATCAATGACATCAGCAACGAGTTTTTGTTGTTGATTTTAGCGTCTTGCAATAGTAGATAGGGAGTTCAACCAAAATGCTTATTCAGAGAAAATTAACTCGTTATGCATCTATGCTTTCCCTGTACATTCACAAAAGGACATTCTTGGAATTCCGCGGTATCCGATTAATAACTAGTACAAGAAATATATATTTCATTTTATAAATTCCGTGAAATTCAATGAGGGGATTGGAGGAACACGGAAGGACACCTGTACAATTAAATTATGCATGGCTATCGGACTAGTTTTTACGTAATACAGTTTCACAACATCCGGTTGACTTTTGGACTAACGTTCATGACGTAAGACACTGATTTTTCTCCGCCCTTCGTGATATACCACTTAATCTGTATTGACCATGCATGAGTGATTTTATATTTAGCAGTTTAATAATTAAGCGTTTTTGAATAAGTCTGAAAAGCACAAATTATTACAGGTAAAATTTCAGTAAGTATGTTTACAATAAATAAAAAATAAGATCTAAAAAGGATGATTTTGGGAGAGACAAGATTCTCAAACATTCCAGCCATAGTAAGATTCTCCGGCTTACAATTCACACCATGAACTATTGAACTTAAAAACTAAAATCTTTTGCTACCTAACTACCGTGGTATGTATCTGTTTAGATATGTAATCCAGTTTATATTCACAAACATCTACTATTGAAATGAACATACCCATCGGATTTGAAAGTAGGCCTAAATATCCTGGCTGTTGTTCATTTCACAATTGAGAAGTACCATGATTGAAAGGATGTATGTTTCAGTAACAATACGTGTCTGTGTATGTAGTCAGAATATAGGTCAGTAGTACTAGAGGGAAGGGCTTAACTTTTCCATTCATATTTTTTTTATTGTTAAACCAAACCAAAGAACACAGATTCATTTAAACTCTTTTACGTTTTGTTCATGTTCAAATTTTGCTCCAGTAAAAGAAATGTACACACAAGTTTAAGTATTTTAACATACTTTTGTAGTATCCGTAAAAAACGAAGTTATTGGAAGATGTGCGTTATTAGAGAAAGTGATTTTGATAGGATTGAACCATGCCCATCACCTACAAACATTTTTCTCTGGTGTTTGTTTACCTAGGGCGGGGCTGCGGTGCCAAGTGGTTAAGGCGTCCGACAATCTGTTACCACTAGGCTTCCACCACTGGGTCCCGGGTTCGAGACCTATGTGGGACACTCGCCAGGTACTGGTGTTTTTTCTCCGGGAACTCCGACTTCCAATATCTGTTAGTAGGACAAAAACGTATACCAAGGTCAAAGGTTAAGTAATTGCAATGTCTGCATGGGCGTTTTCTTCCAAAAATGTATACCAAGGTCAAATATTAAAGTCATTGCAATGTTTGTATGGGCGTTTACTTCCAAAAATGTATACCAAGGTCAAAGGTTAAAGTCATTGCAATGTTCGTATGGGCGTTTACTTCTAAATGGCTTAAAATTCAACGTAACCTTGAGGTCAAAGGTCAAATAGCTGTCATGGAATGCTTGTTTGGGCCATTAGAGGATTTTGTTTTGAGAAATTTAAGATTTTATGGTTTATAGATGTCAATATGGCACGTAAAAATAATAAGTTATATCCTTAAAGAAAAATCTCAAACTAATTCAGAAATCTGTATTTCATTTAGAAAAATCTTAAACTGATTTAAAGATATATTTATTTGAAACCAATATCTCTTTCTGGATAATGCTTAAAAATACCTCTAATACCAAATTAAGTGAGATATCTTGAATTTATCTGAGATGTCTATCTGAAATAAAGAAATCTATTTCTTTCAGAGATTCATATTTCTTTAAGAGATATCTATATTTCATCTAAATATGTAGCTATTATATATATCTCTACAACTTTTGAAACCAAACCCTGATATTAGGTAATGAGTGTTAAATTGCCTTGCTTTAGTGAGTGTCTGGGTGATGTTCTTGTCCTGATGATAAAATGTTAAAAATTGATCTGAGAATCTTTGGAGTCCAAACCATTATACTATTAACCTTACAAAATCATATAAAATAAAAATGCTTTACTCTTGTTAGTATTTAAGTGCTTGAAAAGACATGAATAAAAGTATACAGTTGAAGTAGTGTGTGGTATATAGGTAGTTTGTGGTATATAGGTAGTTTGTGGTATATAGGTAGTTTGTGGTTTATGTAATTGTCAAAAATAAATTCCTTGGGATAGGATTCTCTTCTGGCTTTTTTTTTTATATTAATCAGAGCATGTCCAGAATGTGATGGGTAGGTGAACTGTTTAGATTTTCCCCTTAGTACTTGGTTACTACCAGGTACATCATATCCCTTTTTTTGGCACACTTTCAAAAAAAGTTGGGTAATTATATCACCTTATCAGGAATGAAGTGTTGTGTAGATTGGCCTCAATACCTAGCACTTGGGTGAGTATCAGTTATTAAAAAAACTTCTTTCATACAGACAGCACTCTGGACTAAAATACTTTCTTTCAAGAAAATAATTAAAGTGTAACCCTGTATTAGGAGACCACCATCGGATGGTCTCTTAATGTAAGTTCAGTTTCAAATAAAATCACTAAAATAGAGAATTTGTAAAGTGGTCTCTTGACACAGGTGGTCTCTTGATACAGGTTCAGGTGATATTTAGATCACTAAAATAGAGAATTTGTTAAGACAAGTTAGGTTCTCAATAAAATAATTACATTAGGGAAATTTTAATGTGGTCTCTTTATACAGGTTCAGTCCATAATAAAATCACTGGAGAAGGGATTTTGTAAACTTGTCTGTTACTACACAAGTGGTATCCTAATCGAGTTGGTGGCAAGGGCAGGTGTGATATTATAACTAATGTGTAGTGTACAACAGAAATAATGTTATCAGCTCATGAGATGATCCTAATCATGTTGTTTGTATTGTTTCTTCATTTCAATGATTGTTTTTGCATTTAAATGAAATCCTATTGGAATGTCTGCTAAGTAATTCTGTTTCAGTATTTTTGTGTTTCTTTGTAAGTTCTCAGGCAGCAGGTTTCATATTCTGAAGAGTTTCAAGGAATGAGGTGTGGGATCATCACTTTTTGGGTTAGGTCCACGACATAACAATGAGGTCATGATCAGGAAATTTAAATGTTGCTTTAAGACTTTAATTTGCTTTAATCATGAAACCTTCAAAAGAAGTGAAGGTCATTTATTTAAACAAACTTTAAAGTGTTTTATCCTAGCAAACTGCTGGCCAAATAGTACTTCTGCAAAGTTGGTCAAGGTCATTCATTTGAACAAACTTGATAGCCCTTCATCCCTGCATCCTACTGGTCAAATATGACAAGGCTTCTTGGTTATTTAGATTCCTTTTTAAATGGTTTAAAACATTTGACTTGTGACCTTTAGCATTGGTCATTCATTTGGGAAAAGTTGACAGGGGTTATTGCAAAGAAGTTTATCAACTCATTCACCTCTGAAATTTCATAATGGACTTTTCCATCCTTTGAATTGGAAGGGTTCAAATGTGTCTTCAGGGGTGAATGAGTTAAAGATTTAAGTTAGAGCGAGTGAGGTGGATGGACAACTGCCACTATGCCATGCAAAAAGCTCACTCAGCTTCTGCACAGGTGAGCTAAAGATACTTCGTGTATTTGTGAGGTAACTTTTTCACAGTTTTAAAATGTTTGAAATGTGATGGGCACCTGTGCTAATCCTCCTAAATGACAAATATTTTCACTCATCTCTTAATTTTCTCTTCAGATTCAGATTGATGATTAAAATATAATTTTTTTTTAGAAAGAAATGAATATAAAAGGTTGACAGTTAATCAGTCAGTGATATCAGGCCATATGCTGGAACCAATTTGTACAACTGTGTAGACTGGAATAGTCCATGTGAATTTCAAAGACAAAGGAAAACTCTTGAAATGTCGAGTGAATTGCTAGCTATTGTTCGGTAAGATAAAATTTACAAACCGATTCGAAGATGCGAATATTATGTTCCTTTTGGTAAATAGTATTTCTAATGTATCAAGATTCTATGAAATACCCCATTGAAACTCATAACAAAGCAACTCTTTTGTTTTGTAACTAAGATCACACTGCGTACCAAAAGACGAGATATGTCAATGAATCTGGATTGAAAGATAATGCAACTTGTAAACAAAAAAATCACAAACAAATTCTGAAGTGTTTTACTTAATTAATTTTAACTTAATTAAGTGTTTTAATTGTATGAAAATAATAATTTTAACTTTACTTACATTAGTTACATAATTAATCATATCATTTATAACTATCAATGGGGTTACATCATTCAATCCACACACACACACATGTATATCCTGATGATACAAGATTTAGCCCTGTACATCTACAAATGTACATCCCATAGGACACAGTGCATGGTACACAAGTACCTATATATCAACAATACTTCCTTTTAGCACAATGGAGATATTATGCAAGACATTCACACCATAACATGAAAGTCAAGTTTGAAATATTTCTACGAAACTCCCTTTTTAAAAAACTTAGTATAAATAAGATTGTTTACAAATTTTGACCTATTTGGATTGTACATGTTAAACTACAAAAACTGAATTCCATTTCATTATGTAATATTTTAAAAGAAACTTAATAGTTTTAACAAAGTTTAATGAATCCATTGTTCTTAGATTTGTTTGTCTTTTACATGAGTTCAATAATGTTTGAATTCATGGAATAAAGTTATTCTTTTGAAATTTTACTCTGGGTTGTAAACAAACGGTCATGTGTTATGCAAGTTTTGATAAACAAAGATATATAAATATCACAAAGAAATCAAAGTTCCTGACTGAAAGAGATTGTACCAGATTTCTAACCCTGGTACTTGCAGTACTTATGTAAAACCTGTTCAAAGTGTCACCTGAATATGACAACAGTTCAAATCATCTGTAGTGTTTGACTCATTCATCTCGGAAGACACATTTGAACTCTTCCAATTGAAATGTTGGAATAGTTCATCATGAAATTTCTGGGGTGAATGAGTTAAACAATTTTTCTTTTTGACGTAAAATCTGTCAAAACTTTGAATGTATTTTATATATTCTAGAAAGGTCTCTGGACCCGTTACTGTTTATGTATTCAATCCAATAAACTATTTACCATTATTCTTATTATGCAGATGTCGGATTGGACAGGTTCTATTTTACAGTAAACAACATACCATTAAAATGCTAACACCATCAATATTTGATAAACAGTGCGAAAAATTAAGAGACACCCTTTAACACAAAACTGAAAATACCTTTGTCTGCATTTACAGGACAAAACTAATTCAAGTTGAGAATTTTCTACTGTAAATTTACAGTATTTTCTTGAGCAGTTTACATGTAAATGACCAGTCCCGGCCCAGATACAGTGTATATAAAAATATCTTGGAAAAATTTACATCAGAATATTATATGAAGTTTCAAAAATGTAATATTTAAATAATATTTAATCTCCAATAAGACATTTTTATAAGAAATGCAACGAGCTAGTGAACTTATCTAATTTCTTTAAATTAGGTGCAAACTTTTAGAAAGATTTCTCATTCAGGAAAACAAATCTAAATAAGCAACTTTTTTCTAATAAATGAAATACTGATTTATATGAAAACAGATTTTGATCTAGAATAATAAGGGTCCCTTGGAAAATGGTGCTTTTAATAGGTGCAAATAAACTTATGAATATGGCATTTTTTTATAATCTAGAACAAAATTATCACATGATTTGCATACAATAATACATTGTATAATTGGACGAATACATGTACATTGTATATATAATAAAGTTATGTACAAATCATTGTATTAATGTAATCTGGATTTCTTGTATACAATTAATGTATATTGCACATGAATTATATCAACAATAACAATTGCTCATTTAGGAAGTGAAGGAGAAGAATAAACACAGGACGTCAAAATTGGAGGAATCTTAACTCATTCACCCTAGAAGACACATTTGAACTCTTCCATATTCAAATGTTGGACTAGTTCATTAAGAAATTTGAGGGGTGAATAAGTTCAGGTAAAAAAAACAAACTTTTATCTTTCAGAATGTTTAAATCAAACCCCATGAGTCCAGAAAGTATGACATGCATATTTTGTAAGCTACTGCCGGGGAACCACAGCATGCTTGTTCTAAGATATCAATGTCCTTCATTACAAAAGCAAACATATTTAAACAGAATGAATTTCTGCGTTGGTAACAAAATAAAATATGACACCAGTATTAACATTACATTGAAATATGTTTCTCGTATCACAAGTGACAAACATTACAGTGAACATGTCATTTAACCCCCGCAATTGATCACCGAAATATATTACGAAATTTGACAATTGCAGGACTTGTGATATTGTGACAGTTATTTTTTTTGACAAGTAGTTTTAAACAAAACCTTGACCACAAATAACAATGCATATGATCAATTACAATCATATTTGTCAATTTCACATGGAAAATGGATATAGCAATTGCATTGTCTCATCAAATATACCATACCATGAAATGAAAAGAACAATAGTATTTATGGATATTGCATTGCTCAGTTTTGATTTTTATACTTGGGTTTCTTTCTAATTCAAAAAAAAATATAGCAATTTCTAATTGGACATTATATGTTGGTATCATATCTACTTGAATAAAGTCTCCGGCCACTCTCCCTCAGAAAAAAATAATTTTGCCAGACATGAGCAAAGCTACTATAGCTAATTGCTCATATTCACTGATGCAAAGTTTTTTGAGGGGAGGGCCCCCAATTGATTCAAACACAACTGCATGTAAAATAATGTTTTTCTGAATTTGAAATATGTTTATTTTACAAAAAGTTTGTTTGAGCTAATTTAGGTCATTCACCCCTACATATTTCAACTGGACTTGCCCAGTCCTTGATTTAGTAAGGTTCAATGTGATTTTAGGGGTGAATGGGTTAATTAAACCATATTTAAGTACTTCTTATGGAAATGTCAAGGCAATTGCGAAATCATCATTGACCTTCAGATAAAGTGAGATTCAATCCTGGACTATCCTTATAATCAAGGTAATTAATGAAGGATAATTAAAAGATTACTTATTTCACATAATAACCCAGAGATTGTTTAAATTTTTGTGAAAAAAAACATACATCTCCCCTTATCAGTCTACTTGGACATTTACTTGGTAAGTCTTTTACCTTTGACCTGGAGGTGAAGGTCATGTTGACCTAAAATACAGTGCACCTCTTTCAAAGTTGAAGCAAATATAATTCTAATTTTATCAAAACGTCTTTAACGGTTTAATATACAGTCCTCAGTATGACGAATCCTAAATTCTTTTGAGCCCTACTAGCCTAGCCATCCGTAAAGAAATGTTTGTTTGCAGTTTCCCTACTTCCAATTTTTTCAGTAGGTAGGATGGTATAGAGTGAGCTTTTTTTTGGTTTTAGAAATCTCATATTTTAATATAAAAACTTTCACTAATTTACCGGCAAGAAAAAAATGTTAACAAAAAGTTCCCCCCAAAAAAAAGCTGGTCAGGAAACTGCAAAAAAGAATTGTTTTAAGGATGACCCTATTAAAATCCAGACAGCAGCACTCGCGCCCCATCTTAGCAGGTGTTTATAAGTTCAAAGATTAATTTCTATACAAAATTGCAAGAATAATACACGTATGACCATTTCACTATCCAGCCATTTTTAACTGGAAAGGGAAGTGAAAGTTTTCAAATTAACAGGTGTTCATTGTATATTATACAAAATATCATGTATATATACATTAGTACATGGGAAACATGGCAGATTAACACTGAATATGTTCAACATCACATTAATATGCCCTGGATATTATACATCCCAGCTACACACTTTAATCCATAAAGAGTTTGTGTATAGACATAGGTTAACTTAAGTAATAATCCACAGGTTTTATATATAAAATTCCAAGGCAAATATCCTTGCAAACATATCAGTAGTATATATATAGCACATAACCTGGGAAATCACGATCTAAACCAGGAATATATTTACGTTTGATTTGTCAAGGAAATTGTCATTGATTTAGAAAAGTATTGCCTGTTTCCACTTTTGGTAATTCATGATCAACAATGATATTTAATCACACGATTTTCCAAAACGTTCTGAACACACGGCCTATCAGTACATTATAACGAATCTTTGTTGCACATGATCACCTGAATTTCTTGTTTCTATGACATCTGGTATCCCGATGTATTTCTCTTGAACTTCCATGTAAGTTTCTTCCACAATGAAGACTTTCCGTCCTTTATTTTTGGCTGACTGTTCATGAAAACATGATTGTGATAATCTATGTCCCCCCCCGGACCAATACCACTGTCGTTGCTACTGTTGCTTCCATTTTCATTGTGACGATTGCGCAAGAAATCTTCGTATGACCCTTCTTCATTTGCTTCCACGATTCTGCCACGTTCTTTATTTCGTTTCATATACCGACCTTTGGCGGAAGTACTTGCGGTACTGCGAACCGTCCCATTTCCCATTTTGGAATCATCAAAAGTGAATTGTCTTATCGTGTTCCGTTTCATATTCTCATGCACTTTATCAAGCGGACGTTGTGATTTTTTGCCGATGGGTCGGACGTCCTGAGGTGGTTTAGGACCATCTTGTGGCTTCCTTATTTGTGGTAAAGTTCCGGATTTTGAACGCTGTCCCATGCCCCGACCGTTATTTTTCCCCTTGTAACGTTTATGATTCTTTTCTTTACGCCATGTGAGTGATGTGTCAAATTCATAATCCTCTTCGTCACTCAAGTATTTTGAAAAGTCCTCCCCTCCGAATTCCTCAAATATCGGTTCATGCCTCGGAGCATCAGTGGGACCACCATTGAATTTTCTTGTTGATCTTTCATCGTAATCTGGTGCAGGAATGTATGGTTCATTCTCCACATTTTGTTGGTTTTTGCCTTTCTTTTTTCTCGGCGGAGGTTTTGGTCTGTCTTCCTCCTCGTCTAAAGGGTAATCTGCTGGTGGAACATCGTCTATCTCTTCGACATCATTGAACTGTGGTATATCATCTATCGGTGGGTTATCTACAAAACCTGCATTATCAAGAAGCTGATGGTAGATGCCACTTTCATCGTCTTTATATTTTTCCAACAACGGTGATTCTGGATGGTCTTTGTCGAAAAGAGGGTTTTCTGTAAAAGCAGGTTTATCTGGCGTCGCTATCCCAGAATCCTCTCCATTGTGACCTTCACTTTCGCCAGTATGAATTGTCATTAATTGCTGATTGTCTCCCATGAGAATAAAACTTTTTGGCTGTGGTGGAGGATCATTTTTCTCGTGTAGAACAAACTCAATCGGCTCAAAGCTGAACTCTGTCGAAAGTCTTGAGTTATCATTTTGTTTTGGCACACACGGCTCAGAGGTCATTAAAGATTTGGGTTTGTAGTTTCCGATTTTGGGGAGGTGGAATCCTCCTTGGGGAAGGGGAGCTGGGCCCTTTCCTGCATTTTTCTCGAAGCGTTGAATTTGTTTTCTTACTGGCGATAAAGGTGCATCCTCGTCTTTGTCTGTGTTCATTTCAGGAAAAACTCCATCCAAACGTGGTCGACTTTTTGGTTCCATTTTGATTTAATGCCTGTAAGAATATAAGAAAATATCATAATGATATTACATATATCATTTATTTCAAGCATATTAAAATCATGTTTTCATGTGTCATTTCTGTTCAATCGTCAAAGCAGTTAATATTCTATATGCGTAAATGTTTTTGATAGGAAATGATATTGTAGTGTATAAAATTATACTATTAATCATATGCAGCTTTCAGCTATATTTGCATGCTTACATTTTCTCCCTCGTAATCTGAATTTATAAAGGTGATTCATTTACCACTTTACCTAACATTAAATGCATTTCTATAGACCTGATGATGCATCGTTGAAGTTCATATATAAACACATTTGTATTATATATACCTATACCTAGCCCTATGATCAGAATACACAAATGAATGAATTTCTTAAACACCGTTGTGATCTTCAAAAAATTGTTATTTCATCCAGAAGCTATTAAATTGTCTATAGGTCTAGATAAATGCATTCACTTTTAACCATTTAATCCATTCACATTTTTCGTAGGGAAATGTTTTAAATCTTTGTATCAATCATATTTACTGGCAAAATATTTATGCATAGATAGGCGGGGCCACATCAGGGACATGATGTATAAAGGTCATGCTTGTAAAGAAAATCAAGATTGACCCATCAAAAGTCGCCCTTAGGTCAATATTGTATTTGATACATGTACATCAAGGTTGGTGGTTTGAGAAAATTTCACGATGAATATTGACTCAAATTCAAGATTTCCAAGATGCTTTTATACTTTTAACCTAAACTTCCTTTTTGAGGGTACTTTCTGGTTGTTAAACATTGGGATTAACCAGCTCTGAACAGTAACCAGAACAGAACAGAACAAGTGTGTCATGCCATGATCAGGTTTAACAGTATACCAGTAACTTTGTGTTAGAGTTAAGGAGATAAGCCACCTAACACATTATACCTGTGACTTTGTGTTAGAGTTAAGGAGATATCCTACCTAACACATTATACCTGTGACTTTGTGTTAGAGTTAAGGAGATATCCTACCTAACACATTATACCTGTGACTTTGTGTTAGAGTTAAGGAGATATGCCACCTAACACTATACCTGTGACTTTGTGTGAAGAGATAGTTCCCTTTAGAGGGTTGTTAATTGACCTGGGAGTAACCTATTAAAACTAATCCACACGTCTTTGTGAACCTTTCAAATGTCGAGTTATGAATTGAATCAAGTCCAAATAATTCTCCCTAAAATAATAATAATAGGAACTCTTTTAGAAAGGAAATAGGTGTCATACATAGGTGGCATATACCATTAAATAAACCTCATTGATGAAACAACAATACATAAAGGGTACCACAATATACTACAGCAATGATACACTATAGATAAAAATGGCATTGTTTAAACTTAATCTTCTCCACAATTAATTGAATCTGAGCAAAAAGCAAGATACAGAATTGTGTTTGATTTCAAAAGTCAAAATGGAGCATGAAATTGGGAGTCTGCCTCCAAAATAGGTAGACTTAAGTTATTAAACACTCACCAGGCTCCAATGTAAAGTCGAAGAAATTGTGCAATTTGATATTACAATATATGTACTACAATATTTTTATAATGTAAGTGATCATTATTTCTGAAAAGATCCACATTTTCTTGATAGAGCTACAATGTAGCACCCTCTTAAAGATTTTAGTGAGAAAACAATGAAATGATCATTAGATGAAATCACACAGGCATGCAGGAGTTGTATAGATTTTTCCAAATTACACTGTCAAACACTATTGAACCATTATGTGCATAGCATGAACAGCTGTAGGGCACTATCAACACCAGCTCGACACAATAATATTATTTCGTGGTCAATACAAATTATTTGCAATCAGTGAGATCAGGTTGTCCATAGAAATTGATTACGATTTGTTTACACAATGGAACAATATTACTACTACTACTATGAACTACTATTACTACAAGCTGTGACAACTGTCATCGAGACAGCTGTCTGTCCTTCTTCAGTATTACACGGGTTTATCTCTGTATTTGGAAAATTGCAATCTTATATTTTTTATAGTTAAAAAATGATGGCATATTGAAACCTCTAATCCACTTTTCTCCTATCAATCTCTCAGTGTTAGGAAATTTAAATTAGAAAATTGAATTGTTTTGTGGATCAAGGAAAATTTAATCTTTTTCAAATTATTAATGAAAATGTCTCAATCTGAAAGTGGAACCCAAAGTTTATTTTGGGCCTCAAATAAATAGACATGATAATCCCTGATATGGAAAACCAAACCAACACGACACAGCTGCTCTACAGTAAATATAACCAGCAGAATCTATGGCAGCCCAAACACACCTTTTGAGGTACTATTAGAGTAAATACTGTACTTCTATGGAAGCCCAAACCCATCAACCACACTTACAACTTACATGGAAAAATATGGATTTTACTGGCAAGGGGCAACATTATAAGTGGGTGAAAGTTCCCAATATACAGTATGTATATATACCATCATCAGGAGTCAACACTTTCTGAGATTATACAAATATGTCTGTACCCCCAAGACTACAAACAAAATCTTTGTGATTGTTAATACATAGTGTCAGTTCAAATTTCTAATCTGTCTGTACAGGGTTCAATTGTCATGCTTGACTGACATTTTAGCAGACTGTTTAATCCCTTACTCCTTCAGAAAACACATTTTGTTTATAAGGTTGATTTCTCAAATCTTCAGAGTTCTTCCACTTCTATGAACCTTACCGCTAAATATTACTAGTAATGGGACAATAGGTCATTAAGTCCCTGTTTGTTTTATAAAGGTCTCGTAGCATGAAGTACTAGGTACAAACTGGATTAGTATCAGACCTACCACTGTGTCTGCTGAAGTTCATTCTTAGATAAGATGAATCATATCGTCTTTGAAATCATATTATACAAGACTATTGGAATCAAGAATTAGGTATAAACGTTGCTCAAAATTCCTTTCACTACCATGATACATAAAATACTGTTAAATTTATTCCAATGGAAATATATGAGAGACTTAAATATGAAATGTATATGGTGTACATTTTTGAAAGATCTTGAATCTAAATGACCTACCTATAGGTAACCCATTTTCCTTCAATCACCCTGCCTACTTTCATAAACCAGACAAGGGGAAGATATCCTCAAATGCAGAAAATTAGGCATTGGCTCTATACCCTGTAAGCTTTTGAAAGATCTTGATGACCTTTTTTTACCCCCTGTGTTGATTTCATGTCAGTTTTGTACTTGGTTAAGTGAAATATACATTTATCATCTATTTCATGTCAATCAAAGCCATCAATAAAATGTAATGCAGGTACAGTATTTGTCAACTAGGATGCTTAAAGCCAAAAACTTCCCAGGCACAATTTTACATGTTTCATTAGAGCAAAATAATTATAGAGACCTCTACAGACTTTTAAAGGTGAACATAGAAGCCCTGTGACATTGTGATGTATTACATACCTGTAACACAGGTAGTCCATAGGTTAATGAGTCAGCCTAAAGGTGTGCTAGTCCATTTACCCCTTGTTAAGTCCAAACTTTCAAATGACCCCTAAATGTACCCGTGTCGAGTCTATTGGTCTGGCGTTGAGGTCTGACATTGATGAAGATGAATGACCACTTATTTCTATATGACTGTGTCGTGAAAGTTATTCGACCAAGAATCAACAGCCTGACCACACCAACATTTGTACGATTTTAACAGCCTACAAAGTCAATGATCCAGAATAAAGTACCAACTGTACAGCAAAACCAAACAGGTTAATACATTATTGCTCTGAGGCCAAACAAGTGTAATGTTGTCTCTACCAGGAGGTTTTGAATATGAACAAAGAAAAAGTTTAATTTAGGAAAGGTCTGATAACAATTTATGCACCATGAACAATGAACCAGTCTAAACTGAACATCATTTGAAGCTGTATAACAGTACAATGAAACTGTCTAAACTGAACATCATTTGAACCTGTATAACAGTACAATGAACCTATCTAAACTGAACATCATTTGAACCTATAACAGTAACAATGAACCTGTCTAAACTGAACATCATTTGAACCTATAACAGTACAATGAACCTGTCTAAACTGAACATCATTTGAACCTGTTTTGCTCGATAGGTGTTAGATTATGCAGATTCAGCATGCCATGAACTGTAACTGGAGAGACTCATCTGAAGGTCATAAGTTTAATGGCTGCTAAATACAGATATCCAGATTTTGCAGGATTTGTTTCTCAGATTAAGATATATTATATTTTCTTCTGAAGTCATATGATACTTTCCTGATAACTTCAAATATTTCCTATCATAAATCTAAAGTACATGATGAGTCAAATCATTGCATGGGCGTGGCCTTTTTAAGCTCCCTTCAACTTTTGACGTCACTGTACACTTCTTTAAACATGCTGCATATCAATTGATTTTTTTTTTATTGAATACGTAACTGAAGAAATTAATTCCATACAAACACTACAATGCACAGAACCTGTTTAGCGAGGTTTGTGTGTTTGCCAAGTGTAAGAATGTAAATGTTGAGTATCCTGCAAGTCGAGCAACTCCAGGTTTTTTATTACGATGTTTATCGTCAATGGAAACTGTGAATATTATATAGTGTATCGAGAACGTCCGTATGAGATCCTTAACGAGAAGTTTTTATGCTGTTGTTTTTCCCTCTTGGAAACTAATTGCATACCATCTCTCAACATGGACTCGATATAATATATATCTGTCGTGATATGGACCGACTTATATACCCAGTATCGACAGGAATAATTTCATCTATGAGGAAGACTTCATAATTAATTAATTTTTACATAAAACTTGTATTGATTTCATAGTTTACATGTTTCCAGGTTAAAGCTAGAACATCGGGTTGTTCATCAGGTTGAAAGGGTGAAATAGAACACGGCGCCACCTTCTAATTAAGTTCTCTTCCTTTTTTCCGTTGTATTGATTTAACCATTATTTATGTATTCTTTCTAAGAACATGATGGAGACTGCAAGACAGTTCCCTAATTTATATTCTCCTACTGGTCTTTTATTTTATCTTTATTTAACACAAACAAATGTACGTTATATAAATTAAGACACAGACAAGAATTTCCTGAGGTCTGCCCAGAGATAACAATAGACATTATATTTAGATCTTTTTGAAAGATTTAAGTTAAGATGTATATTTGGTGATGACAGTGGTCCACACCATGGTTCCTGGCCATAAGGTGACAACTGGGTGGTAATCACTATTTTTTCTGGCCCACATGCACCATCTAGCAACATTAGAGCGTTCACTGCCATGATTCCTGGCCTAACACACCATCTGGTGTTAAAGGTTATATTATACAACACAGTATTTAGGGCTGTGGCTCCTGGCCGGACACACCATCTGGGTGGTCAGCACTTATTGTTAATGGGCAGACGCACCATCAAGCACCAACAAAAGGTTAAATTACTATAGTTGCTGACCCGACACACCATTCGGCGATGACTGGGTGGTCATCACTTATTGTTAATGGACAGACACACCATCCAGCTCCAACAAAAAGGTCATTGATATGGTTGCTGGCCGGGCCACACCATCTGGTAATGACTGGGTGGACCAATATATGGACTTAAAACCATGAACAAATTGTTGAAAATGCTCTCAAAACCATTTTTTAAAGAAGTGTGAAATTTAAGAATAGTGAAAAAGGGCGTTCATAGAAGTATTGTGATACTAGGCCAGAACATTAAACACATGTTAAATGTGATATAAAAGTTTTACTTTCTTCACAAACAATGTACGTACGTATTAAACGTGTCGCAACGTTTCAAGACCGACTGGTCCCTTTGTCAAGCTTTGTCGGAGTGTTAAATGTATTCTGCTTTATAGAATAAGGCAAGGATCCCTTCTTTGACCCCCATTATTGCAAAGTATGCCGTTGAGGTGTAGACATATAAGAAGGTATATATATATATATGTTAAAGGAACTCTTGTGTGAACAATTCTCAGTGCTATAAAGGAAGCGGCTTAGTGTGTCGGATTTAAAGCTCTATTTACATAATTTTAGAATCAAGTCTTGCTAGTTCACTTGGCCACAATCCAAAGTCAAGATATCAATTGTTCGGAAATCAGCACAGTGAATGAGCAACAAAATATTGCTGTTTTTATTTTGGATAATAGTTGACAGACAATGGTTAATTCTGAGACTGTTGACATGAACTTTTTGTGTTTTAATTTAGTTCAGTGAGTGAATTAGCTGGTATATTTTGCTGTCTTTGTTGAAAAATACCAAAATATTGTTTGTAATTCAATATTTATCCACTTTTGTCTCATATGTCTTGTAGTTCTATTAAAGCGTAAAGGTGGTATATCGTATGTTCTTTTTGAAAACACAAAGAGAAAGAAAAATCCGGGAATCAACATAGCGGAAAAGAATTTCAGAAGGATGACCTACCAGGCCCGAAGTATTTATAAAACCGTTCTCATGCTCAAACATGAATTCTGTGCTCTAACATTCTTGCATGAAACATAGCCATGGAGTAAAGTTGAGATACTGAAAGCAGAATTCAGCATCGAGTCTCTCTCCATAATTCCTCTGAGTTACTGAAATATGTTAATTAAACATTTTGTTGCTAGAGTAAGGAATCCGACTTAAGCACAAAATATGAGATTTAGGAGGAGAATATAGTTATCTTGAATACAGACTCAAATGACTTTTCTCTGCCAGGCATTCAAATTTAACTCAAATATTTAATGATGAACTCAATTTAAACTAGAGTACGTCTTGAGAGGGTTTAAAAAGAAATATTCAGAGAATTTCGAAATATTTGCAGCAATGTAAAACAAGAGGCCCAAGGGTCTTAGCGGTCACCTGAGTTATATTATAGGTAGGCCTACTGGTAGCTATATTTTTTTGTTTAGATGTGATGTGGAAATCAGAATGTAAACTAAGTGAAATGCAATACTTGTCATGTCATCAAAGGATAAGAATTTGAAAATAGTAAAAAAAAGTAATACTTTCATTCACCAAAGATGATTCTGACTAAGTTTGAGTAATTTTCTGCTGAAAATGGATAAAATATACCCAAAAGTGTTATTTCCCTATATAAACTATAGTAAACTTTACCCCCTCCCCAAGGGAGAACGGATAGCTTGGGGGTCCTGAAACTTACGACTAAAATAAAGCCCCTGATGATTTTCTATCAAAGTAGAGAAAATCAATCAGGTGACCTAAAAAAGAGTTACGTTACCTTAGAAATTACCTGTCATATCTTTTAGTAACCAAGGTACCATGTTAATATACAGAAATAGAATTGTCTAATACATGAAATTTAGGACTATTAAAGTGGAAACAAGGTGTGCATTCCTGTGTGTATACCCCTTAAGTTAAAAATAAATTAAACAATAATGTGTAATATAATATATATTTCACATACAAATAAACCATTTAAATGCTGAAGGTTTTACTGTAAGAAATACATTTTAAGGATTTAATAACAAATGTAAATCACATGACTTAATCCCATTTACATAAAATACACTGCATTTACATTTTCAGCCCAGTGTATCAAAGACAGGTGTTCTACAATGGAAAAAGAATGATGATTTAGCTGAATTAGCAGGGCATGAACTGAATGGGTGTTTCTAGTAAAAAATCAAAAATATCTTTCCAGATATCATTTATATATTTTATCTATATAAGCCTTAAAATTGCAAAGATATGTTTCAATATTGTATAAATATTTAAATTTTCTTGAACTTACCACAAGATAAAATATTCCATGTCACAATAATTCATTTAACAGCACAACCAGATGATAACCCATTCCGACACGATTTTCATTCTGTACGTAAGTAAATCTCAATAACACATCTTCTCATTTTCCTTTTTAACGTAATGACTTCAAGTCCTTAATGCCGGAGTCCTGATCATATTTGATCCGTCCTTAACCAAACACTGCTTTCATAAATATAGCACGATCTATCAAAAGACATCGTGTTATAATATGTGTTTTACGTCGGTGTACTCTGTAAAGTCATGCGTCAATACTGAAACCAACAAGTCGTATCAAATTTCACCTGTGTAAGCTTCAATCGTAGTCATTTCTCACTCCAGTTTCGTCTACCTGTCCATTATTATTTTAAAAGCACACATGTTAATCCTATGTTTACTTATATATGTAGCTTATGTAAACATATCTGATTTTGGGTGTAGTCTAGATCTAAATATAATTGCACAAAAACCCTCATGTGACCATTGCTGGGTACGTTTTTATAGGTCACCTGATACCCCCTCCGCCCTAGTGACCCGTTTGTCTATTCAAAATCTGTCATGAACTGGATGGAAAATTAAAGAAAACATCTCGGCAGTTTCAAATATTTACTCAATTTTGTGACAATGTTTTCTTTCTATTTTCTATGGATTGAGAAATCCTGTTTTGGATCAAACATTCATGTGTACGTTTTTCTATAAATCCGTTTAAAATTTAGACAGATACCCTAAGGAAAGGATTGTCAAACAGGGAAATATCACATCTGTTTACATAAATCTCAATCAATTAATGCTCACACAGACATCCAAAAAACCAATGCCTGTGACCATGAGTTGTCTGAATATCCTTCAACTTGGTACCAGATTTCTTCTGCTAAAAGCCTTGGTGGTCTCATCCTTGGTCCCAGGAGAAAATGTCATTTGCGTAAATAAGTGTAATTGCGATTTCCCCCTGGGACCGAGGGTTTGGTGGTCTCTATTAATCTTACTAACTGTAGCACAACATCTCTTGTTTGTTTCAGGTTTTCAACAACACTTGAGGTCATATAGGGATAGTATATATATTTGCTGGTGATTGGGCTATATAATCAAGGTCATCAAGGTCACTTTTTAAGTGCAATCACATGGAATTGTCACAGGCAAAATGCCTCTACCAGCGACAGTCACACGTTTTTGATGATTTGGCGACAGTACCAAAGGGAACAATCGGGTACGGGAGAAAACATATTCAGGTGTCTCTCAATTGTTGTAAGCGGAGAGGGGGCCATACCAATGTTGGTTCCCCAGTTCCTCCCTAGGTTGTAGACAGCAGAGGATGTTCATAGCTGTTCCTACAGAGAACTATACCTGGTAGGACTCCAGATCTAGGTTGTAGACAGCAGAGGATGTTCAGAGCTGTCTCTACAGGGAACTATACCTGGTAGGACTCCAGATCTAGGTTGTAGACAGCAGAGGATGTTCAGAGCTGCCCCTACAGAGAACTATTCCTGGTAGAACTCCATATCTAGGTTTTAGACAGCAGAAGATGTTCAGATCTGCCCCTACAGAGAACTATTCCTGGTAGAACTCCATATCTAGGTTGTAGACAGCAGAATATGTTCAGAGCTGCCCCTACAGAGAACTAGACCTGGTAGGACTCCATATCTAGGTTGTAGACAGCAGAATATGTTCAGAGCTGCCCCTACAGAGAACTATACCTTGTAGGACTCCATATCTAGGTTGTAGACAGCAGAGGATGTTCAGAGCTAACCCTACAGAGAACTATACCTGGTAGGACTCCATATCTAGGTTGTAGACAGCAGAGGATGTTCAGAGCTGTCCCTACAGAGAACTATACCTAGGAGGACTCCAGATCTAGGTTGTAAGACAGCAGAGGATGTTCAGAGCTGTCCCTACAGAGAACTATACCTGGTAGGACTCCAGATCTAGGTTGTAGACAGTAGAGGATGTTCAGAGCTGTCCCTACAGAGAACTTTACCTGGTAGGACTCCAGATCTAGGTTGTAGACAGTAGAGGATGTTCAGAGCTGTCCCTACAGACAACTTTACCTGGTAGGACTCCAGATCTAGGTTGTAGACAGTAGAGGATGTTCAGAGCTGTCCCTACAGAGAACTTTACCTGTTAGGACTCCGTATCTAGGCTGTAGACAGCAGAGGATGTTCAGAGCTGTCCCTACAGAAAACTATACCTGGTAGGACTCCAGATCTAGGTTGTAGACAGTAGAGGATGTTCAGAGCTGTCCCTACAGAGAACTATACCTGGTAGGACTCCAGATCTAGGTTCTAGACAACAGAGGATGTTCAGAGCTGTCCCTACAGAGAACTATACCTAGTAGGACTCCAGATCTAGGTTGTAAGACAGCAGAGGATGTTCAGAGCTGTCCCTACAGAAAACTATACCTGGTAGGACTCCAGATCTAGGTTGTAGACAGTAGAGGATGTTCAGAGCTGTCCCTACAGAGAACTATACCTAGTAAGACTCCAGATCTAGGTTGTAGACAGCAGAAGATGTTCAGAGCTGCCCCTACAGAGAACTATACCTGGTAGGACTCCAGATCTAGGTTGTAGACAGTAGAGGATGTTCAGAGCTGTCCCTACAGAGAACTATACCTGGTAGGACTCCGGATCTAGGTTGTAGACAGCAGAGGATGTTCAGAGCTGTCCCTACAGAAAACTATACCTGGTAGGGCTCCATATCTAGGTTGTAGACAGCAGAGGATGTTCAGAGCTGCCCCTACAGAGAACTATACCTTGTAGGACTCCATATCTAGGTTGTAGACAGCAGAGGATGTTCAGAGCTGCCCCTACAGAGAACTATACCTTGTAGGACTCCATATCTAGGTTGTAGACAGCAGAGGATGTTCAGAGCTAACCCTACAGAGAACTATACCGGGTAGGACTCCATATCTAGGTTGTAGACAGCAGAAGATGTTCAGAGCTGTCCCTACAGAGAACTATACCTGGTAGGCCTCCAGATCTAGGTTGTAGACAGCAGAGGATGTTCAGAGCTGTCTCTACAGGGAACTATACCTGGTAGGACTCCAGATCTAGGTTGTAGACAGTAGAGGATGTTCAGAGCTGTCCCTACAGAGAACTATACCTAGGAGGACTCCAGATCTAGGTTGTAAGACAGCAGAGGATGTTCAGAGCTGTCCCTACAGAGAACTATACCTAGTATTACGTAGGACTCCAGATTTAGGTTGTGTCACTTTCAGATACAAAAAACTAAAGGAAGTGAAATGGAGGTCTCATTATTGGCAGAGCCCAAAGGTAATACATAGATTGAGCAATTGTGTTTGTGTGCCAATCCCCTATTTCTATAACTGTCGGTTTTTGCCTTTCTCAGAGGTCTGCAATAAAGAACAGGTAATACATTGAAGTACATGTGCGTTGTTAAATAGTTTAACATCTGAGATTTCTTTTTATTAAATGCAGTAGTTTTAAAGCTTCATGGGGGCTGTATCACCTTGAAAAGCATCAGATAATACACAAAAGACAGGTTAAGACTGTTTAATTTTTGCTATTGTGGTTGAAGGAGACATGACAGGTGTATACAACATGAACTACATCTATTTCAAAAAATATAAAAGTGTGGTGTCTTTTTTAACTTTGGCTTTACATGATAAGCATGGGTGGTCTCTCAAGATAAGTTTAAATAAATAGGAGATATATATATGGTAACAATGGCCTCTTATACAGGGTTTTTTTGTAAGAGGAAATATAATCATATACAATGTGGCCTCTCCACACAGTTTTGACATAATTCTTACAGAATCTATAGGTGTCAACCTCTGAAACCCCCAATGAGGAAGATCTCCCTTATTCCACATTTCCAATGAGGGAGAATGTGTGTGAAATGCGACTAAAACTGCTTTGCTCAATTCATCTTTCCCTTTTTATGTCTCAAAATAACTCCTAAAAGCATTCATTTGATTCAGACACACCTGTAATAATCATTACACACACCCTGCAGTAACTAGGAGATCATTTGACCACAGGATAAAGATTTTTGAGTTTGTGTGAGTCTGGACTTGAATGAGGGAGTTTCGAGGGAGATTGGTAAATTTTGGTTAAAATGAGGAAGTCTCCCAGTACCTCCTAATGAGGGAGGGTTGACAGGTATGAGAATGTCAAATTACCTTGATACTGGTTTGGGTGTTCAGTCAAAATGTATTTAAAAATGCTGGAATGATATATAGCCAAATCAATCTTAATAAAAAAATATATAAATGCATCAAATAAGTGGGTGTAATATAGCCATGCAAGGTCTAACTTCATGATCATGCATACACAACATGAGAACGGTACTTGATACACCCAATCAAAACATTATGTAAAACGATTGCCTTTGGCAAAATCTATTTCAGGTGTTAGACTGCTCAAGGATAAGGCTATCATCACTTGCCCGTTGATTACAAGTGAAACCTGTTTGATTATGTAAATTTTCATTTTAAGCCACTATGCCTCCCAGCTCTGATACACAATATGCTTTTTCCTCATAAACAATTTCTTTTACTTACTTTTTTTTTTAAATATATTTAATATCAGGCTACAATTTCAATTACAAAACTTCTGAAAGGTGTGTTTGTGCATCTTACAATGCATCTTTATATTACATCTACAGTGTGGGTAAGTTTTTAGATCTTTATTTAGTTTATCATCTAATAGAGAATTGTGTAAATAAAAATTAAGGCAACTACAAAAAATTAAAATAAAATAAAAATTTCAGCAACAGCGACCAGTCGGATCTAGAAATAGCAAGACCTTGATTTAGAAAAGTGCTGTATTTATTTACTGAAGTAAACAAAATAAGGTATTCTGTAAAACGACCACAGGTAATTTAAAAAACATTTCCTCCTTTAATTACAAAGTATATCATCAAAAGGCGAAAGATTTATTTACATGCTAAAATGTTATGTTCCTTGTCCACGTAAATACCTTGTTTGTACCACATGACCATGTAGATTCTCAGGAACGGATAGGCATCATACCATCGTTTCAATTTTTACATAATAACCCCAGGTAAGAAAACCTTTTGCACAAATTTTATTTTTCCTTCGTAACATTCCGTCTGTGTAGAATAGACCAGAGTGCACTAATATACGTCAGGCTTCTGACGTAAGGGATTGCTTGTGTTTATAACGTCAATCCTTTTTATGATTAGCCTGTGATGTTGCCGTGTCAAATTTCATTTAAATTCCTGACTGAGTTTGAACAAATGTCAATAAGCAGTATGTAGAAATTGTACTCAAAAACCTGTAAGATGTAGTAGCATGCTACCTTATGTGTATTTCATTTTTTGTAACAAGATTAAAACATTTTTCTATTC